CGCAAGACGCAAAACACACCTTGTCATGCCCTCTTCCGATCCAAGGCCAGAACCAACAAGGGCCTGCACTTTCCTTCCGTCGAGACCATCTGCCAAAAGAGAGAGCTCTTGACCAAAGACAAGGTGAAGCCAATCCTGCCACCAAGCCATTGACCAACCTCGGGCTGACGCCATGCGAACAAAGAAGAAATCGTCAAGACAAAAGAAAGGCAAACAAACAAAAGGCAAACCTTCGTCGTATCTCGGAGGAAATGAACCGAAAGACAAGCGAATGTGGGGGTATCTCTCCTCTAAAAGAAACCGGGGGCTCACCGGCCCCGAACGCCTTGACCTTTTTGTCTTGGGTCATACATACCCTGTCGACCATGCTGGACCGAAATGCTGTTGTGTCCCCCCCTCCGTTCTATTGCTTCATGACTGCCATGCTTGATTCATCGCACTGAATGCCCGCATCCTTTTCCTTGGAGAAATGAAACCTTATAACGCCTGTCAAAGGAAGACCCTTGGTATTTTGCACGAGAACGAGTTGGCGAGCCAAGACAAGCAAACAAGACGTTGGCCTTTAGTTGTTGGTGCCAAACTCCCACGAGGCTCGGCCACGGAGGTTATGGCGCGGCATAAAGGGCGTGACAGTTGGAGGACCGCTAGCGTTGCCAGCACCAGCCGTGACAGTGGCCGTGGCATAGACTGTGGTCGGCTCCGCGGTGACGGTGACAGTACGAATGCCGCCGACAGGGGTGGTGGTCGGGATGTCAGTGCCAGCGCTGGGTGAAGCAGTAGGAACACCCTGCTCAGGGCCACCACCAATGCCATCAATGGCAACAATGAAGGGGTTCTCCAGCTGGTCAGCAATAGCGATGCCGTTGTAGTCGGCGGGGTTGGTGATGAAGTCATCATCCTTGACACGGACGCCCTGGCCGAGACCACTGCTTGCAAAAGGGGCAGAATTGCCACTGTCGTTTCCAGCCTGCTGGAAGACTGTCTCGCCTTCAATGTTGATCATGGCACACGAGCTGTAAACCTGGGCGACTTTGACGTGATCACCTTCCAGGTCCTTGCGGCCGGCAGGAGCTCCGCCCTTGGGGTAGACGGCGTGGATATCGCTCACGACGACCTCTTTGTCCTCGGTGTCGAGCCTGGGCCAGTTCCAAACCCAGTAGAGGGTGTACTGGGTGCCCTGGGGAAGATCCTTGGCGAGACTGACATCGCTCTGGCACCAGTTGTTGGGACCAGTCAGCTCGTTGGTTTGGACAGGGAACTCGTTCTGGCGCTTTCCCGAGAGATCGAAGCCGTTGGCCTCGTAACAGCGACCATCGTCATACTTGCGAGTTGCGAGAAGCTTTCCGCGCCCGTCACCGCCCTTGCCGTCAGGGGTCCACTTGAGGTGAATGTTGGCCAGGGTATCATCAGGACGCGGGTCGGTCGTTCCGTAGATGTAAACGACACCGCCATGGTCAAGTCGACCAGGTTCGAGGTTGGTGACGTGGCCATTCTCAAGGTAGCGAACGGCAATCTGATCACCAGGAGCAGCGGTCAGGATGGGGAAGTTGGGGTCCTGAGGAGCAGTGACAGGCTGCTTGCAAAGAGGTAGGCCAGCTCCGGAGACGTCGTTTGTGACAGTGACATCTGAGAAGCCAGCGCCACGGCCAAAAAAGCCGGCGGCAAAGCCGGCGGGCTCGACCATGGTGCCATTAGAGGCGATGCGGTTGAGACGCTCGACCCAGGAGTGAGAATTGGCAAGCTGGGGTCCGAAAAGGATGGCAGCCAGCAGAGCACCGGTCTTTCCAAGAGCTTTGATGGCGACCATGGCAGCGATTCAGGTGTGTCTTGAAATGCTGTACTTGTTGTCTGATGAGATAAAATGGTTAGCGTATGATTCTCGTTGAAATTGTTTTGCTTTGTTGGGATGGTCAAGAGCCAGCGAGATGAGAACGGCGATATAAGTAGGAAAATGCCTAGAGTGAAGCAGTCACAGTGTCCTGAAAACCCGAGGCTGGTTCAAGATCAAGATGTCCAGACAGCGTGATTGTCCAGTGTTGAGATGCCAGCCCCGACCACTTGACCAGTCAAGGAAGGAGCAGGGACTGCAAGTATGCCCAACCCGATGGCACCAGCACAACCAAGCAGAAGAGAGTTGTGAGTTGGGGGTGAGAAAGGCATGAAAAAAACAGGGTAATGTGAGAATAGTGGCCTTGGATGACTGGCTCTGATGCTGAGACGGTCTGACTGTTGAAACAAGGAATGGCGCCGAGCCAAAGCGAACAAAATGCACAGCAAGTTGCAAGACAAGAAAGATAAAGAACAAACCTTTTACGGGCAGCTTTCGTGCTGTATTCCGTATCGTCTTCCGTGACGTTTGATGGGAATGATGGGATGGCGATATAGAGTAGGCGTGCGTGCGGTTGTCTTGGTGGTGGTCGTGGCGGCGGCGCGGATGGGTGAGAAAGGGTTGAAGATCGTTTTGTTTTGGTGGTTGCCCGCGACGATATAGGGAAAATAAAACTTGTGGGAGACCGCAGGCGGCAATGAACCGGTCGAGTGGTGATTCAGAGCTGAGAGAGGGCAAGGGCGCGCGTTGGAATCACGGCAGACTAGGCATTCACCGTTGTCGAGACAAATAACGTTGGTCGGAAGGAGCGGACTTCTCGCACGGTCGTTGAGATGCCAAAGAATCCGAGCAGCTTTTCTCGAGGAGAACCAGTCCCAGTCAAAGTGTGAAAGGCCAAAGGAAAGAGGCCTGACCAGCAGAAACCCTGGTATAGAAAGGAATGTAGCACAAAGCTGGAGTCTGCAGATGAGGACGAAAGGGACGCAGGCGGATAGACCGAGTTGGTATCGGGCCGTGTAGGTCTTATTAGCTGCATCGGATGGGCTACAGGACGGCTACATCCATGGCCTTTCGGATGGGCCATGGATGGGCCATGGAGTCGAGTTCACGTCATGTCGCCCAAGGCAAGGGGGTGACTGGCCATGGGATGTCGAGGAGCATAGAGACGAGACGACGCAAGACGGAGAAACGAAACGCCCAGAATCACCACCTCCTCTCCACGTCTCTAGCATCTCGAGGCGGCCATCTCCTACCAAGCGCAGGTCAGGTAGGCCACACTGTTCGACCCAAGATCCATGGCCATCAAGGAACAAGGGAGGGATGGGAGCGGGAGCGGAAACAAGCAGCAGCCAGGGGGCACGGTCTAGATTGAAGAGATTGATCGGCGCCGACAACGAGAGCCAGTGAACGTGATCGAGAAGGCCGACTTGGGACGAGGGACCAGGTTTCTGTGTGGGCTCTCGAGAACCAGTCATGGAACCATGTCGAAGTCTGTTCAGCCGAAGCGAAGCCCGGCGTAGGCAAATGGATATTTCGGTACGCCAAGGATGTTTGCAGTGTACGGCAGACCGAGCACCCACGACAGTGCTAGGACACTGCATGCCGACTCGACGCTGTGCTCATCAGGAATAGAACGCTGGTGCCGTACCAAGGACGATGTGGACGTGAAGTTGAATCGTCTCGCGTGTGGCGTTGATGGACGCAAGGATCTGGCACAGACGGTGGGGTCGGTCCTGGAGTCTTGCCAGTCCTAAAATGGCACCTGCGCTAACCGCCCAAAGTACCTAGCAGGGGGCCAGATGAGAGACGTGTACCTGGCAACCACTGCCCGCGGGTGGGGAGATACCTCTGTTGGATCCCGTGCGCCGATCCGGAACAGGGGCCTGCAACAGCTTGGACGGGCGCTACTTGTCGACACAGGGCAGCCAGTGCTTCCTGCCGCGGGGACGCCAGTCGGGACCAAGCGAGCCATAGCACCTGCCTGTCCTCGCCGTTTACTGGTCGCTGTTGACTGCTCGTGCCCCCTGTACCTGCCTGCCCCGAGCAGCCCCTGCTCCCACGAAGCAGGTACCAGGCACAGGCAGTGGTGGGCAGCTTTCCCCTTGGCGAGCCCCCGGAGCACAGCAACCTCCCCACCACCCCAGGCGGCCACTCTCCCCCAATCCGACCCTCGCGACAGCTTCATCTCTCTTCATCTCCCTTGCCGCGCTGTAACGCGCCAGACCCGACTGCCGGCCACCCTTCGACTGGTTGCTGACACGCCCAACAGCCGCTGCACAGCCCCGGGCCCAGAACAAGCAATAGGCGCGCCTCGAGATGATGCTTACACTACCTACCTGCCTTGCCTTGCCTTGCCTTGCCTTGCTCGGCCTGGTCTGGTCGTGTCATCGCATGACCCGTCCCATCCGCGTTGCCGCCCTATCCCGCCGGCCAGCCGTCAAGAATCATGTTCTTCGCCTCAAAGACATTCTGACTGCATCTCAACGCGTCGTGTGCCACACAACCTTCCAGCCCTTCCAGACGTGTGGTGTTTCACCCTGCGCTCTCTTCCATGGATTCGGACCCGGACCTCCTGACGAACTTTGCCTTCTGTGTGTGAAACATCTTTCGACCCACGGCACTGGCCCTGCTCCACGCCTTGTCCGATGCTGTCAATCTGCCGCTTATCGGCAAAAAGGAAAATACCTCTGCTTTTACCTTCTTCAGCAGATGAAGTTCCCCGGTTTCATCCCAACTCTGCACGCGACACTCCTTGACGGGCCACTGAAGGACCAAAGCACTAAGGGAATCGCCCGACACATCCTGGACGGCACAGAGACGATGGTGACACCAGATCGGATCGTCCAGGGGCAACACCATGACTTGGAACCAAGCGTTTCGCTCTTCACATACGGCAATCGTGAGCATGTATCTGCCATTACTACAAATGTGGTATCAATATCCAGAAGAGAAAGGTCATCCCAGCAAACAAAGACCCCTTGAACCAAAACCCCCAATAACGAACATCCATCTCTTTCCTTTCCGTGTTTCGCCAATGTCCCCAAAGTGCTGTTGTCACCCTCCCTCAACGCCGAATGCCTGTGCGCCATTCCCAAATAATCCTTTTCAAAGACCAATAACCCCAGTACCCTGAATCACCAAGTCCAAGCAAACACATCTATATCGCTCACCCCTACTCCCAACGGTGGTGGGCGTGACTGCCATCATCATACCCCGCTGGTCCCGTGCCGTGGTGTACAAGCTTCTGAATGGCCGTCGCGGGGAAGTTCTCGCGGTTCTCCATGTCGAGACTATTAGATCGCGCTCGCTTGCGTCCTGCCATGCTCTTAAGGGGGCTGATCTGATCCAGGGAAGGCAACACGCGTTGGTCGACGGAGGACCATCCCGTACGGCCATCGGCCCCCGTGACTGCAGCCGCCGCAGACACGGCTTGAGCCCAGCCCTGTTGATTCCAGAGTTGGCTGTTGTCCTTGCTACCATTCGGGTCGATCGACCAATTAGCGCGAGCGCTGCGTTGGTTCTCGCCCTGCCAGTGCTGTTGTTGAGACTGCGGTGCCGGCGCGGACTTGTTGGCTTCCGCGTTAGAATCCCACCCGTTCCACTGATCAAGGCCTTGGAAGGCCGTTGTGTCCCAAGCCTGCAGTGTCGCGCAGTCGGCATCATCGTAACCGCTGACGCCGATGTTGGTCGTGACGTTGATGCCCGCTGTGGCCGTAAGGTACGGGTCGGCGCCGGTAGGCCCCATATCCGCAACGAGTGTGCTTTGGCTATCAATGGAGGATGAGCATGGCGCATTGAGGAAGTCAAGCTGCGAGGTCTGCTGGGATGATTGGTGGTCATGGTTGCTATCGAAGCTGGGAGCATATGATGGTTGGAGGGATGCAGTAGGTGGAGGCGTCGCAAGACCAGTGAAGTTGCTCTCGAGATAACCCATGGAACCGCTGGACGACAGACTGGGAAGCTGGCCAGGGAGATGGGTTGGGTCCCACGCCGCGTTGAGGTTCTCGCTCATGGTTGCCGTCAAGTGGTGCGCATATCCAGGGGTCGGTGCCATGATCATGTCACGGCTGGGAATGGCATTGTTGCCAGGGTTGACGCAGACATTTTGCTGGTGAGCCGGCGAGATGGGGTCCAGGGCCGTGAGGAAACGCCATGTTGTTCCCGGAGGATGGTACACACGTTTGCCACGGTTGGAACGGCGACCCGATGACGAGGTTTCTTCACCGTCAGTGTCAGTAGGCTTGCGGCCCTTGCTGGTGCTAGTCGGCTTCTCGTAGATGGGGTTCCACTTGTCATCAAAGGCGTGGACGGTGCGGAACTTCCACAGGATCACGCCGCGACGCGTCCACTTACGGCGGTCGGCCGAGCCGTCAGGGGGTGCGGACCAAAGCTCCTGGAACATGGCGATCTGCTGGATGAGTTCCGATGTGGTGCGCTCCGACTCAAGCGCGGCCTGCTCGGCGGCCTTGACCTCTTCACTGCTGAGACCCTCGCTCTTGATCTTGGCGTCGATGGGCTCCTGGAGGTAGGTGGCGCAATTGCTAAGAATGCTCGCCCACTCGGCAGCCGGGAAGGGGACGCGGACGTCCTGACGAGTCCGTGTGCGGCAGTCGCACTCAGGACCGCGGGAGCTATCGGCACCGTTGCAACCAGGGCGGTGCGTGTATTGCACACCGACCTCGCTCGTCTGCTCGACGATGAGAGGCTCGCCGTCACCAGCGCGGCACAGCTCCTCGGGACGCTGCAGCCTGGTGATGCACTTCCATCGGTGGTTCTGAAGCTGGGGCTGAGCAATGTTCAATTCGACAAAGCCGTTGAGTTCGGAGCCCGAGGGGAAGTTGCTACGAGGGTGCAGCTCAAGAGTGACGGTCATCTCCAGCATGTCGAGCCATCGGTTCTCAGCAGTGGCAGCTTCGAGGCTACGATGGAGAGACGGGAAGCGTGTCTCCCATTCCTGGTCGATCTCAGTCGCCGCAGCGGCCTCCTTTTGCGCCAGTTCGCGATTGTACTCATGGAGAAGAACGCTGCCGCTGCTGAGACCCCGGTTCAGGCTGCTGTCAGACTCCTTGTTGAGGTTCTTCTCAAGGTGAGGGTAGGCATCGGCGTTGAGGGCCTTGCCGTTACTGTCAAAGGCTTCACCCGTGTTCTCATCCATGGTGACACACTGGGAGGAGACAAAGATCCAGCACGTCTTGGGGCGCATGACGACCATGGAGTCCATGGCAAGGATCTGGGAGAAGTACTCGTAGTTAGGACGAACGTCAGGCAGACGACCCTCGGAGAGAGCAATGAGAACTGGGTTGTCCTTGAAGGAGGCCATCTCAGAGTTGCTGTCCTTCAGACGAGCCTCGCTCTTGTCAGCATCCTTGACGAAGAAGAAGTGGTCTGCGGCTGTGTTAGTCATGCTTCCACGAACTCAGAAAAGGTGGTCCTGAACACGTACAGCATCGGTGCTTTTCAAACATCTTCTTCACAACCTGAATGTGACTGGAAACCTGCTTGCGCTTGCGCTCCTCGGTCTTCTGTCCAGGCTGCAAGCTGCAGCAGTAGGCAATCCAGAGGTACTCGCTGATGAGCATGTTGCGCCCAAACTGCTTGCCTTGCATGCTGTACTTTTTCCTGCCCATGTGAGGGATGATGAGGAGTGCTGCCGTCGTGTTAGTGACACGTTCTTTCATGCGGAACCCAAACGAAAGCCAACTCACAGTCGAGGAACGCATCCTCCAGGACGCGAGGCCAGATCTGCTTCTCATTGGGGTCCTTCTGGTCCTGCTTGTCCCTGTAGGGACGGAACTCGGGCGTGAAGTAGATGGGGTTGATGTCCTGCCTCGACCGCCTCGCGAGGCGGAGGTGCTCGGCGCGCGTCTTCATGCCCATGCCGCCATTGCGGAAGATGGAGCCGGCCTGCGAGGGCACGACGGGGGTGGGGATGGACGGCGGCAGCGACGGCGAGAAGAGGCCCAGCGTCGGCACCGGGCGACAGGACGGCGGTGCGGCTGCTTGTGAGAGGGATCCGAGGCCGTTGGTGATGTGCTGGGCGTTGCCCGTGGTGTCCCTCAGGGGCTGACGGGACAGGCTGTGCTGTGGCCTCCTGCCATGGCTGCCGTGGGAGGATGTGTTGGTGTTGCTGCCCGGGTGCTCGTACCCGTAGACGGGGGATGGCATCATGGGGCGAGGCTGCTCCATAGCTGCTGCTCGTGTGCCTCTTTTGCCACCTCGAAAGGGTAGTGTATCGTGAGTTTCTCTGTCAGGATCCTCAGAGGAATCTCTGACCTGTTGCTTGCTGCCTGTGTGGCAAGAGGAGTGGGAGCAATGCAAACAGATTCCGAACAAGAGACGGAAGAATGAAGAGAGGACACAAGATGAATGCCTCTGAAATGGGGGTGCGGCTGCTGGAGAGGAATTCTGCCTTTAAGGATAGGGAAGGACCCAGATACTCAGGGGGTCACGGGACGGCGGAAGTGAAAGGGGCAGAAGGCTGGATGGGTACGGGTTGACAACAAAATGACAGTCTCGCCACCAGAATAATTAGGTATTAGGTACGGGATACTCGGGCCCGCAGATGAAGGAGAGTGGGATGGTGGTATCGAAAGAGAGGCGAAGGGTGGAGAGTGTAGCCTGAGTGAGCCGATGAGGAACGAGAATCTTCAACTGGCATGAAAGGGAAGAGGATGTGTACGCAATATAAGTGCCAATCAGCTCGAGGTTGGAGGAATGAGGGCCGATGATCTAGAGTGTGGTCTCTCTACTTACTCACTCACACACTCACACTCTGACCCGCGAGACCGATATCCATCTCGTAACGTACAGGGGGGGAGACCAAGAGACGAGCATGACCACCGATCCCAAGCGGAGAAGTGCCGAGTCGATCACCAGGGTCAGATCCGGCAGCCCTGTATAGACTGATAGTCTGTAGAGTATATCAATCGTGGATGCCATGGCTCACCCCTCGCTGGCACCCTTCCACGCGGGGAAGACACGTCCAGGAGTGCGTTGAGGAAGGACCGCTACGGGTGCTTTGACGTGATGGCAACAGATACAGTGAGCCCTGTCGACTTATCGCGATCCATATCATCGGGCCCGGCAAGGGGGGCGTGTGCCCAAAGGGAGGTCGAGGCAGCACCCCTCCAGCTCAATCTGGCAAACGGCCAGAGGAGCCTCGTCTTCCTGTAAAGGAGGGTGCGAGCTCAGGTCGACTCGAATAGGAAGTCCATCCACAAAAAGTCAGCTAAGTGGTATCCCAAAGAGGGGCCTGGGGCAAGGAAAGGGGAGCAGGGTGCCTGGTGTGCGCGAGGAGAGGTGTAGCTACTGAGCCCTACCGAGCGACTCATCTCGCACGCCACTAGTACGATGGATCAGTCGCGCAGCAGGACCTTGACGAACAGGTAGGGGACGATGGCAGGGTGTAGCAACGCGCATCGCCCACTCCGCAGCACATGGCTTTGCAGGATGTACGTTGGAACATGCAAGGGAGGGGTGGCTGCACGCACCATCTCATGATCCCACCATAACCTCGATGACAGCGCAATGGCCAGGTATGTACCTGAGATTAGCATCTGAGACAAAGAAGACAACGCGCTGCGCGCTTGCATTCCCCAATCCGGAGTGGGGGAGAGCGTTTTCCCTGCGATGCCGTCGAGGGACCGTCGCGTCTGAATAGATGGGCCACGATCCAATAGAGGGCGACCGCGACGACCTTACAAAGGGATGCACCACGCCCAATCCGCCTGGCTAGGAGCAAAGCCGCTGGCACACAACTGATTCTATCCAACAATAGCAGATGGGGTCGCCGTCGATAAAGGGAAAAAAGGGCTCTCGCAAGGATTCAATTATCTGATTCTTTCATGCCTCTGGCTGTGGTGAAGGATTATGGCCCTCCGGCTTGCGTCTGACTCGGATTTAGACTGCGAACTCGTCCTCATTGTCCTCCCCGATCGTGATCTTCTTCCTCGTCTTGCCCGTGAGTTGCGCCAATGCGACCTTGTTGACCTGCCCACCAACCTTCCTCTGCATCTTGGCAATTTCCTCCTCGGCGTCCAGGGCTTCGGCTTCAGCGTAATCGAGCACCAATCTCCTGCCCAACAGGTGGGTGTGCTGTAGCGCATCGATTGCATTCTGCGCCTCCTTTGGCGTCGAGAACTCGGCAAATGCAAAGCCGCGAGTCGACTGACCCATTTTCTTGGGAAGCCGTACTGCCCGTAATGTCCCGTACGTGGCGAACAGCGCCCGCAACTCCTTCTTGCTAATTTCGAACGGCAAGTTCTTGACCACGATCTTGGTCCGCTGGCCCGCCATCTTCTTGGCCTTGTCTTCCCTTCGCCTCTCTTCCGCCGCGTCTTGACCCCTGTGCGATGCCCTAACGCTGAGTGTGTGTGCATCCAAGACCTGGCCGTCCATCGCCTTGATTGCAGCCTGCGCTGCTTCGCTGCTGCGGAAGGCAACAAAGCCGAAACCCATTGATAGAACCTGACCAGGTTTTTTCGGGTCTGTCTTTGTCTTGACCTTGGCTGACACAAAGCCCTCCAAGGACTTGAATACATTGGTGAGGCCCTCCGACGTTGTCGAGAAGTTAAGGTTCCGGACGAAAAGTGACTGTCCAACAACCTCTTCCCCTTGCTCATCACGCTCCAGCAGCTGTGTCACATTGAGCTTCTGCACGCCGGTAGGCTGATCACCCTGCTCCGGCGTCATCTGCACAGCATCATCTGGTCCAAACAGATCTTTCGGCCCTTTCTCGAGAAACAAGACTGAGTCTTTGATCCTACGGTAGGCGAGCCTTCCGAAGGCTGCCTTGCCCTGTCCAGGGGCGTACTGGACAATGGCGATCGTCTTGCTCGGTGGCATAAGTACCCGGAGCACAGTTCCGTGCTCCGCGAATAGCGTCCGCAACTCCTCCAAAGTGGTCCCGTGGGGAAAGTTTTTCACTAGGATGGTCGAGTCACCACGCTTTTGCGACTTGAGGGCGTTCAGGTCAACACCATTGGCCAGGAAGTACGCCTTGGTTTCTTGGATCACCGACGTCTCGGCCACTGCCTGTTTCACAGCCGCGGACGCGTCGGTAGGGTCCAGAAGGTCCGACTTGGAGACTCCGAGACGGCTCGCCACCGAGGTGTTGATGGCGTCCTGGCTCATATACAACGCATTCCAGTTGAAGGTGTTGGTGGAGGCTTCGGCCTTCTTACGGACCCGCTGCTGAACCTTTAGGGGCAGTTTGGACAGCGAGTATTCGTCCAGATCCTGGTCCCGCCGCGCAGCTGCGGGTAAAACATGGAGCAGTCGCCCTTGAAAAGTCTGCCCATCTGACGACTGGAATGCAGTGACAGCGGCATCAGCACTGGCAAACGAGACGTATGCAAATCCCTTGCTCGTCCCAGACTTTGCCACCGGGATGTGTACCTGAGACCAACTTGTCAGTATTCTGATTCATGGATAGTTTAGAAGAAGCGTCATGAGGAGATGATCGTGTCAGAAAGCCAAAGCATCTACTAAAATACTGGTCCAAGGTTCGCATCAACCACCAAAGGTGTAAGCTGTCCCTATCTGGATTCATCATATGATCGGTGGGGCTGCCGTATGTTGTGGAAATGTGAAAAAGATGGGGGTTGGCCTACCTCCTCGACTTCTCCGTACTGTTCAAAGTGATCACGGAGATCGTCCTCGCTGACACTGAAAGCCAGGTTTCGCGCAAACAATCGCGCGGTCTGGCGAATGGTGTTGATGGCCACCTCCTTGTCAGACTGTACCGGCGCAGCCTTCGGCAACTCCTCGGCGGGTGCCTCACTGTCTTGACTTTGAGATGGCTCAGCAAGTGGCTTCTGACCAACATCCTCTACCGCCGCAACGTCCGTCATGACTTCGTCCGCACACTCGTCACGGGTCTCCTTTTGGACAGGGGGCGGCAGCGGAATCTCTTCATCGTCCGCCACGAGGTCCAACATTCTGTTGGTTCGCGAACGCAGCCAGTCATCGTCTGTAGCTACGGGGTCCACTGCCTTGGAAGAGTCGACCTGTGTCTTCGGAACAGGCTCGGCTTCCTGTGGTGATGCAACAGTGTCTTCGGTGTCTTCAACAGGTGTCATGTGTGGGGGTTGTTGAGGCGGCTCAGGCTGCTGGTTGCTTGGCGCTTCCCTCATCTGCTTCTTTTCTGGCCTCGTTGGGATGGTCTCATATTCATCATCGCTCTCGCCATCTTGAAGAAGCTTCTTCTTCTCAGCGATCGCCTTGCTGTCGATGACTTCGGTCATCTCATCCGCGGCATTGGTCTTTCCTGGCTGGAAAGTCTGCAAGTACTCCCGCAACTTGGGATCAGATTCATCAACCTCGTCCCTCTTCCGTTTCTTGGCCGCTGCATCGCCGTTGGCATCCCGAACCGCATTAGCCGGCGGGAGCGCTGTCGACGATGCTGCAGGAGTCGATTGGTCGCTCTGCCAGTTCCTCTTCAGAGCAGGGTCTGCAATCTGAATCAAACTGTTAGCATGCCTGTCACTCTTCTCTTCTTGGGGGCGGGGCAGGGTAAAACATACAGGTCTTGCAAGCTGCACTTCGATCCTCGACATCCGAATGTACGACTTGTTGAAGTACCTCACGGCCTTCTTCGCATCCTCCGATGTCTTGAAGCCGACATAGCCAATTCGCCGAGGCAAGATGACCTTGACATCGGTGACTTCTCGTCCGCCAGCCGAGAAGTGCTTCTTGAAGTCGGCATCGCTGATCGTCGGGGGGATGCCCTTGACGAAGATTCTTGACGTCTCGAACTCTGCGTCCGAAGGCTGTGCCGACATTTTGTAAGGGGGTGTGTTAAATAAGCCTTGAGGGCGGTAGGGTCCGGTACTATGAAGGCTGTAGCATTGTGGTGTGGTGAAGTGATGGCAGAAGCCGCTTGATCGTATGGCAGGATACATGGAGTACTTTTTTTTCGCGACTTTTTCTCCTCTGCCAGCTCCTTATCGCTATCAACATGTGACCGTCCGCCTGGTGAGCGCCCCACCATTAGCACGCGGCAGTCACGACCACACGACCCACAGCAGCATCATGTCCACTCAACCTGGGCAGGATGGCAGGGAAGTATTGGAGAGTCCGTGGGTGGCCCGTGCCACATGACAACCCAATCCCAGTCGCGTAGGGACCTCTCTACGAGTGCTAGCTGGAGTGGAAGGAGATCGCGAAACACCAAAGCAAACAACCCGGCCAACCCACCAGCTTCCTAGGACGTGAGGCTATCGTATCTGGGAACCATTCTTCCACCTCACGCTCTGTCTCCAGTAACCACAATTTCCTTGACAAACACGGTAAGTGCGAGATTTGCGACACCGCAGCATTTGCGCAACAAGCGGGGCTTGTCGCCCAACCCTCGAAAAGGGGTAGTCAGCAGCTTCTGCCCAAAACATGACCGCCTGTCCTGAGAGACCATGTTTAGCTCGGCCACTGACAGCAACTTAACAGCTCAACCACCGACCGAAGCAAATCATGGCCGACAAGGGAAGTGCTGAGGCTCCAAGGGAGGCGAAGCTTGAAGGTTTGTCGCCCGCCTACCGCGCCTGCCAAGTCGACAGTCCGTACTGACGCGCATTGCGACAGCCCAGATTAAATCCGCAGACATGGTATGGTGATTGCGATTGCCATCGAATTATGCCAAGGCTGACACATGCCAGACCGACGATATGCAACAGGAGGTCATCGAAGTCGGTGGGTAGCTGCTCGGTCAATCACTGGTGTCAGGAGGGTTCTAATACGCCGTGGCACAGCTCAGGAAGCGATGGGTCGATTTACGATCGAGAAGGTATTGATCGCCAGCTCCTATGGATCCGATGTGCAGAGCTTATCAGATATCTTAGGACATTGCCCAACAGATCAAGAAGACGGTACAAACTTCCCCACCATCCGCCGCACAAACGAGGTACTGACGATTCGGGATCAGTTCGATGAGCGCAAGGGTCCGACGTGGCACTGCATTGTCGGACGCAACTTTGGAAGCTTTGTGACGCATGGTACGAGTTGATGGCATCGATACCTCGTCATTTCCGTCGAAAAATGATCATTGCTGACGTAAATAAATCCCACTGAGCAGAGACGAAGCATTTCATCTACTTCTACCTTGGCCACTGCGCCATCCTCCTCTTCAAGACCCAATAGTGGGCGGAGCAACCGACCATACGATGACCGACCTTAAAATCAGCCCGGAGTTCCCATTTTATCTTTGCCTTTTTGCTTCGAGGGACGCAGCAGCGCACGAAAGAAACGAGACTCTGAACCGTGGACGAGGATCAAACGAGTACGGCATAATGCGAATATGGAGTCGCCTGTGTTCGGAAACGGAATGGTCTGGGTAGCTTCATCTAAGCGAGCTATCGGATCGACCTCGTCGATAGATATAGTTCGCAGCGGGGCTGTTCTTGAGCAACTCGTTCTAGACAATACCCAGTATCAGGCCTGAATCATTTTAAGGTCATGTCCAGTTCAGTATGCGATCAAACCTTGAGGGAACTAGCGATGGCGCAATAGATGTTGCTCGAAGAATCGATCGAGCAAGCTGGGTGCGAGGTCCATACCTACAATGGAGGCCAAAACTGTACCGAACCCAGATCAGCAGATGAGGGGACCTCGAACACCAGATATCGTGGACAACCAATATCATGCTGTCAAGACTGTCGAGCACTTGGCCGCGCGGTCTATTTACCCTCCCCCCCCCCTCCCCATCATAAGCCACGAGTAAACTCCAGTTCTAGTGTGCATTCAATGCCACGCGAAAAATCCCGTCCATAGCTTCCGGAAGCCGCCCCGATGTCGCCAGCAACGGTACCCCTCCCCTGCCCCACTCACTACATCTGCCCGCAGCGTCAAATTGCCCCCAAGGTAGGATCGACACCCGCCTTGTGCGGGTGCTTGAGGAAAAGCACACCCCTCTCACCCGGGAACGCTATTGTGAAGAAGGCCGGGTCCTCCAACTTTCTCTTTACCGGTCCACAAAATTCCGCTTCGGGGGAAGCGGGGAGGGGAGCCCGCAGGAGGGTCAACGGGAGCGCGACGGTTATGGGTGTGAGGGGCACACGCTGGTTCTGGTACGTGAATGCCGTCCTCCTCTACCCTCCCGCTCGGCCACATCTCTGGGGCAAGCTGGTGCGTGCTGGGGTAGACGTGGTAAAATATCTTTGTGACGGCAAACCAGAACGTGCGTTGTTCATCTTAATAATTGCTGGGATCTCCGGGTCTAGAATTCTTGCCGGAGCTTAACATGACAAGCAGATTTAATTCCTGCATGGCAGTCAAAGCAACCCTCAGCTAAGGTAAAACAATGTACGTTTAGGCTAGACTACCAAACCAGACGATGGTCTGGTGGCCTCGCATCAAAAAGTCACTGCTGCAAAAGGCAAGCGCTGTTGCCACTTTAAGATGGATGTTCAAGGAGAATCAATTATGATTCCCGCTGCTACTGCCTCTCATTTGCAATGGGACATCAGTACGTAAGACGTAAGGTGCTCTGGGTCATTTCGTCACGGGTTGTTTCCCTAGACGACTTGTATGCAAAGTTTTGCTGTACTTGGCTTTGAGTGTAGTACATCGTCCTGATGATGGTCACTATGTGCCTCCCATATCGTCAGTGATTCTTCCATGCCTCTTTTATACGGCGTCCGTTCTCGCTCCCAATGCCAATGGCTCAACTTTGACTCGATTCTGAAGTTATTCCGTGAACAAAATGTCTACATCCACAAGTGGTATCGAGAGACTCGTTACTTCTGCTTCCATTCTACCTACAGAACTCTACGGAACCGTGATTTCAAACTGTCGAGTATCCTGCAGTCCCTTGACAGTTCAACTGCGGAGCTCAGAGGCAGAGCTGCACGATAGAGCACGTCCTGGGCTTTGAGGTGCGGACTGCTTCGTCATGGCGCGGTAACCAATATCTCCAAGATGACGTCGAGGCAAAGAAAGAGAATCCAGCCAGCGTTCTCTAACCTCTCATTCGGCCTCGCTCGAAAGTGCCGGGCTCGAATCAAGGTTGGATACCGGGTCACATGGCACATCTTCTGGCTGGCCGGCAGAGCTCCTTCTGCAAGAGATATGATGGCCTTCTACGCTACTTTCAGCGAAGTCGGTGCAAATTAACATAAAAAACGAAGAGTTAGTGAGTATCGAAACGTCAGGTCTTGTGTTGGGGACTTGAGACCCAACATGGATTATGTTCTTTAGCGTGTCGAGGTTTTGGCTGGGAGATCACAATTGTCGGCATTCGCTAGAACATCGGTTTCTCTCTTTGCCAAGGTTTCCAGGCGACTCACCCTGCCAGGCTACTCGATGAACGTGTTCGTGTCAAAGCAGAGCCGCACTCTCTCTGTATCTCTGGTTCGGGGACAGTTTGATCATGCCTAGGCTGTGGGTCACGGACAAGCAACAATGAATATGCGGCAGGCAGACTGAAGTGTTGGATTCACATGTTTCCTCGAATTTATTCCTGCCGGGTTGTGTTATTGCCCGGTGAAATTTAAGACGAACACCCTCAAGATCCTATTTCCCGCAGTCACTCACTTGACAGCAATGCCTGAACTATGACTCCAGAACGAGCATGGGACAAGAAGGGGCAATTGCGCCGCCATAATATCTGAGGATTGTAAATTAGGAATGATCCAGGACAAGACATCTCGTCAGTATGAACCCCAGATTTGTCGTTGATGTCGTTGATCCGATAGCAATAGAGCTTTGCCGCAGGGCAAATATCTTCCCTCGGGCGTTCGCACCGAATGCTGGCCATGTTGGTTCCGGCTTGAACATCCATCAGGACTGCGTATCCCATGCAAACCTAATTGCTCTCCATGATCCAACTGAACAGTCACATCAAATCATGCCCGCGCCTTCCCGATACCTGAAGTAGTAAGTTCCGGCAGCTCGCTACCATGTCAGGCGCCTTGCAAAAAAAGGTGGCAGATGTAATGATTAGGTACTTAGACCCCCTAGCATTTCCCACCAAGACAGAAGTCTCCTACCATCCAGTTATCAGGCCGGCCTTGCATTTCTACTACATCCTTCATCCGTCGGGGCATAGTATCAATATTTTTACGTCTACCACTTTTTTTGCAAGGCGCTCGCGTGTATTCCAATCCACGGGTGTTAAGCGACCGAGACGAATCGACTCTGAATCAGCCAACAAAAGCAGCAAGCAATTGGAATATATCCGATTCATGAACTGGCAACCAAGCAAGGTTCCTGAACACTCTTCACCAAGCCTCGGCCGCACATGACTGTGCAGGAAATCCATTAGATGTCAATCAGAGGATCCCAGGTGCGCCGATCCTCTTGGTACGTGTTTGACCAAGATGAGCGACAATCACCACCGCTTCTTGCTCAATGCTGCATCAGCCACGTACGGTCTGGTGCTCCGAGGTTGCAGCTTGGGGTGGGCTATGCTACGCTTTACGGAACAACTAAGGATTGCATTGTTCCCTGGACGAACGCATCCAGGTATTTGACCGCACCCATGTCATTCATGGCTTGCCTCGGTGCATATCCAGGCGGTAAATGCGGGGGCCGTCAGTTCCCGTGATATTGGGCGGCGGGAAGGGTGTCGGAGCGACGGCAGCGAGACTCTTTCAACTTAGCGCTCGCTGGTCGACGTTGTCCCGCCCCGACCGACTGTGAACATGCTGACAACCTTTCCCAGTTGTGTGCGACGCTACCCTGTGAGCGGCAGCTCCGAACCGAGCAGGTCGAGTCACTGCCCCGCAGCTTTCAATGGTGATGGGACACCCCAACTTCTTTTCCCCGGGGAGAGCAAAAGGCGCATAAACGGTGCCACCTCCATAAAGTCAGTGATTCTTGAGTCGTACTTTAGGTGGTCGGTAAAAGATGGGAAGCAGGGGGACTAAGGTAGGCGAGGGGGGGGGGGGGGCATACGAATCTATCGACACGATACATCGACTACTTCCCAAGTAGGAAAGAGAGGGGTTCAAGTGGCCCGGAACGATGTTGAAGTCACACGAGGTACACACCATCTTCTGGTGGGATTCTTGAGTTCGGGCCAGTCCGGTCCTCGTGGAGCAATTGCCTAGTGCAGAGCATGGCAAATGGGGCAAGCCTGTGGGGGAAACATTGGCCTAGCGGAAGAACAAGCTGGGTTTTAGAACCAGATCATGACCGCCGGCACAACTGGCCTTGCTTGAGGCAATATTGGAGGGTGGGGGGCCCATCTCTCCCGTCTCTTGTGCTGGGGATGTGGTCGTCTTTTGCTGTAGTCTCGGACCTACAAGAGCGTGAAGAGAGAACATGCGAGATGCTGGCCTCTTTGTCCATGAACGATGTCGGGCATCAATTGAATCATCAAGGAAGGGTCGCACCAGTCTACACGGCCTACTGGAAACGACCTGCTGGCTTCAGCACATACAATGCAACATGCCAACGGAGCTGACGGGAAGTACGGCCATGGCGAAAATGACAATCGGGCCTATCTGGGTGTAAGCTGATCGATCGGTTGCTGTACAACTCAAAAGAGCATCCTTCACTTCGATTGGTCTGGATCGGCCGAGCACTCGCAGCCAGGAGTTTGAGCCTGTACTCTCTTGGCACGATGAACTTGCTGCGTAATAGGCTGCTTCGTCAAGCATTTGGCACTTGTATTTGGCGACTGATTCAGAGTGAAATGGTACAGACACCAGCCATCATCTGCTCTGAAGGCAAGCAGCGCAAGGCTTCGAGACCAGCATCAAAATTTGTTCGATTTAATGCCGTCTGTGCCACTCACTGAGAAGATGCCCGGAATTCCAAGCCAAGTCCGCCGCTGGACACGGCAAATCAGCTAAGGCGGCTTGTGGCGCATCGTACACCCTCGTCCATATCTTCGTGTCCGCACCCATAAATTTAATGAAGATGACGAGTAATCACGGGGAAGATTCGACATGCTTCTTGTCAGCCACCCTGAAAAAAAACCTTGAGATGAAGTAGGGGAATTACGTTAGCCCCCAAACTCGGGGCCAGCAACGGCAAGACCGCACAGAAGCAAGGCGGCGCAGCGGGTTTGGTTTCATCATGGCTCAGACCAGCACTTCAGCACAGCCCTACCAGCGCGGAGCAGCGAATAATCTAGACGCCTGACTTTATCTGGCGCAGGGTCGTGTGGCCGTGGGGCGGGATCAACAGGAGCGATGCGCGCTGCGACGGGTGTATGCGTCCCTAGAGAATAGTTCGTTCACCCGCCCGGTTCGGCACATAGATCAACAATGTGCGATTGTATATGGAATCCTCGCCCACGGAGTAGGACGAAGACAAGGCTCCGGAACAAAAATACGTTCGTCCAGGTGTAGCCAGCGAAGTAGATTGTTGAGCACAGCTCGCCACACGTGCCAAGGCAGCGCACATTCTCGCCCCAACCAGGCCTTTTGGTTGTTTCAGTTGGTGCACCACATTGACGAACTTGATTCGGGTTGAGGCGAGACGAGGCAAGACGAGGCGTGAGCAAGGTGTCCACCTGGCTGGCCTGACCGAAAAGAAAAAGACGCCTCGTTCTTGGAGCGACAAATGGCATTCGGTGACCGGTATGTGCCACTGATGGCTTGGAGACGAGACACAGAAGCATGCTGGACACTACCTGCCAGATGTATGCCGTGGCATGAGCAACAACGCTGTGTCCAAAGCACCCACTGCCTCTGTACTGCCCTGAGTCGGTTCAGTGCATCCGAGAGCGAAAGGCGATGCCCGATGAACCCGATCCAGGTGGAAGGTACGTTGAGGAAGTAGTCTCACTCTTCTCTGCCGGGAACTTTCCTCAGCTCTGCCCGCCTGGCACGAGAATGATGACAGACACTCAGTCCAAGGCAGTCGGTCGGGGAGGCGTTCGCAAGGTTCGACACGGGCGGGCGATAAGCCAGGTGACTGACCCAAATACTAGCAACACTCCTACGATCGGCCTCGCCCTCATGTGTGGTTTCGTTGCTCGTTTGTTGGGCGATCTAGTCGTTCGTCATCAAGGTCACCAGACTTGCCCAGCACCTCGGGTTCATGACGCCCAACGCTGCTCGGCCTCCAGCGGTGAAGAAGGCCAAGTGTAGGACTGCCTGCCTCAGAGGTCACGCCACCAGAACACCGGGCCAGTGAGGCCATTCCACTGTAACAAACCCACCTGTCGGCCATGACGGCGACCACGTCCAGCGCCCGTGAGGAAAGAGCGGCGATGCGCTACTGCCACCCCTTCCTGCGGGTCTTGGTCACCCATGCACGGGCCAGGTACCCGCCAGGTACCTCCCTGGCTCCCGGGTACCCTTCCAACCGCTGTCGTCTTGCCGCAGCAGACTGCCAGGGACTGTCAGCAGGGTTGTCCAGACTCGACTCGGACTGGCCCGGATTGGATTGTTTGGCGAGGTGAGCGGGTGTTGGCGGCGGGCTGAAGTGATGTGAGCTGGGCTAGATCTGGCTGGGCTGTTAAGATATGTGAGGTGATCAACGTTGTACTAGTAGACCCCCTCTTTCAAAGAACTCATAGCCCAGAAACATCATGACATTCTTCGTTTTGGCGAGACTCAACTCATGTCAGATCTGGGAGGGAAAGATTCGGGCGCAACAACGTGGGTTTAGTATGGTTGCTTGCCAGAGACAACTTGCCTCGTGCAGATTAAATCATCAGGGGGATACGCAATCAAACCAGTGACAGCTCCAGCCCCCCGTCCCATCCACTCGTCGGTCCATTTTCTCATCGACCCTGGCTGTTCTCGGGGTCCTCACCCTCGCTCGGGAGTGACGAGTGCAGGTTTAGTTTGTGATGTCAGCGACAACGGTATGGTCAAAGTCAGCCGCTCAAAGCCTCTCGTCGTATGCGCGATGGGCGAGAAACTCGAGCCGGTCATCAATTCCGAACCACCGACCCAAGTTCTCCAATCATCATCCTCTACGACCAAACTTTGAAAACTTGCCCGCCGTTATTCAACGAAGATGGACTATGAGGTCCGACCATGGGTGCTTTTACCGTCAGAGCTCCACTGGACATGGGCAATCATGTGAAGTCGATGAGCAACTCCGTTCTCGCTTCTATCGCCGCGGCTGTCTACGTTTGCTCGGCTCAAAAGTCTCGACTGAAAGGACTCATCAGCCCAAATCCACATTCCATGAGGTGCGATTCCGGGAGGGTGGACACTAGTAGTTCGCTAGTCGGGTGAGCCATCACCGCTTCGAACGACCATGGGGGCCCCTTTCAATCCGTGAATGCGGGAGCAGCGGTAGCCAGTCTGCCCAGCCCTGTCCTGTCCGTGGTCTCCCTGACTAAGGCACTAACCCGACGGAGGAGCGATGGCCCCTCAGCCACAGCTCCAGTAGATTGTCAGTAGGTCACAATTGCGGCCTATGGTCCACATGAAGTTTGCCTGCTATTGCCTTAGTAATGACGCTGAAGAAGTCACCGGAGCTGGAGGCAAAAGTAACATCTGCGTCAGAGTGAGTGTGTTAATTCCGTGGGCGGTTGGCTGACATGAGCTGCAAGGCAAGGTTGGTCCGCCCCAGTCAGTTAGCCTGAAGCGAGAAAACCACTTTTCGTGACTGAGTGTCAAAGTATCGAATCGCTGCGGCGTCCACAAACGGAACAGCCATCAGAAGCTACCCAAGGGTGGTGGGCCGTCCAGATCTTGAAGCCAACCTCATTGATGTGCGATTTGTTTTCCTTGGCCTCGTCTTCGGCTGCAACAATGGAGAAGCCAAGATCAGATGATGTGCACCACTGGACAGCGAAATGCTACTTTGCCCGGCTCAGACGAACCGTCAATGTCGATTCATCCATGTATGATTGAGACATATTGAGCTCACACACGCAAGCCGCGTCCGAGGATGGGAATTGGCTGAGGGTGGGGTGGGTGAGCTCGTCCGTGCTGCCTGACGGGCTGTGTGAAACTGCAGCGGGACCGCCCCGGATGAGTTCCAGTCGGCGGGGTTTGATGTGGACATCTCTGTTGCCTTCTCCTTCATGTCGAGCAGTCCAGCAGACGCCTTACAGTGGCTGAGATGATGCCTCTAACGGGCACAGAAGAATGTCAAGATGCCGCACCAGACGGATAGTTAAGATGATCCAGAGATACCCGCTAACGCCTCTTCACGCCCAGCTGCAGCTCCAAACACAAGCAAACATTGTCGCGACCAAGTGGGCAGCCCGATGGCCACGTGCACCACGTCTGCAAAGCCATTCATGATGGGGAGGCAACATTTCGTCCGGCAGCCAGGGGAGGAGAAATGATGGGGGTCTTGCGCCCCATCGGACAAAGTCGTCTGGCCTTCTACCTGCAAAGCTAAAGTCCAGCCAGTGGAGACGAACACTCTTCGGAGGTCTGGGGTCCAGTTTCGGGCCTGGCTGACAAACTGCCAGCAAGTTCCTCTGGAGTGGCACAGAAAACGACAAAGAAAGGCAGATTGGACAACAAAGTGAAGCAGGGACCATGAAACGCGCAAGATGCCCTTTAATCACTTTGCTGTCTACTTGGTTGGGTTGTTGATTGGCACACCATCGAGTGCTCTTCTCTTGAACGCCGTGCAAAGTGAGGCGTTGACTAGACATCTCTGTTGCCCGTGAGACATCGCCTGCGGAGGGTACCCGAAGTAGAGGCAGGTACTCTGCACCCCCTCCCTCCTGCCGTTTTACGAAGGAAAGCTGGGCCCCGCGGCCAGCACACCCACTGGGCCCCATCCTCAGAAGGGAAGCCCCCAAAGTTGGCCAAGTACTGTGCTTGTATCTTCTGCAGAATCCCTCCCTGGCTAGCCTCCAGCTGGCGGCCCATCCTGCACCAGTCACAGACCGCCGAGGCCAGCTGCGAGGCACGGTACGGCGGCCGGCACCCTCCCTGTCGCAGCGCACTAACAGCCTGAGTACCCACAGCTGGTGACGGTGGGAGGTGCTGCCAGCAGTGAGTCCAGCCCAAACGAGGGTGGGTGAGTGTGGAAATAGTGACTGTATCCACTCCCCTCACCCACCTCTTGCTCCCCGTCTGGTACGACGTGACTTCCAGGCCCATGTCCCCCGTGCCTCGTTCCCGCTCAATTGTCAGGTACCTCCTGGCTGACCCGCCCTGCCTGCCTGCGTGCCAGTTCCCTCGGATCCTCCTGACCTCACCTCACCACTTCACCTCCTCCTCCTCTATCACCCTCTTTTAGGTCTCCTCACACGACCTGGCCCTTCACTCGAACAGCCTGTTTGTTCGGTGATTCACCTGGACCGTTTGTCAGGCTGTTTGTATTGTCCAGCCAGGTGGCCAAACTTCAAGCCCGACAATCCACTCCATTGGCCTCTTTGTACCAATACCTAGACACCCCTTCGACTCGTACCGACAATGTGACGGCCGAACCTTCAGAGAACCTTCTCTTTCAAACAACCTCTTGAGAGTCTGAGCCTCACACGATCCCACCGATTTCTACCATACCCATCCTCCGAGCTACAACATATCCACCCCGTATTTACGGGAACATTCGCAACCTCCCTCTGAATTCCCCAACATAACCTCACAATGGCCTCGCTGAAGGTCCCAGATGCGGGCCTCCAGTTGGAGGGCTCCGCTGACGCTTCAGTCGGCGTGCCCACACAGGCTTTTGCCCTCAGTCTGCCTGACAGCGTTATTGAGGACATGATCAGGTGTGTCCAGAATGGCGAAGACATCCAGCTGTCTTTGGGCAACAGCCCGGTAAGTGCCCCCTGCTGGAGTCAACATATCCATTCCCTTGCCCTTTGCATAATTACATTGCCGTGCGGACTGCCATGACTACATCGGTCGTTTGCTCGAACGAAAAACAACAGGCTACGCAATTGGAGCTTGTGCTGCCGTTCTCTCCTTCTTGCTTCCATATCTTCCCTGAGGCGACGAGTCCTGTGGGGTACCATAACTAACCGCAAGACTGGTATAGACCTTCCTGTACGGTTTAGATTCCTTCACGCCTTCACCGATATCCGATCCCGCGCCCGCCGACATTTTCCTCACAAAGCCCTTCGAATCGACCAAGATCGCCTCTCGAATTCCAATCACAACCTCGCTCTGGCAGAAACCGAGCTCTCCACGATCTGATACCAGCGAACACAATGCTTCTGCGAGATCCAAAAACCTTGCTTCATCCTCAGCATCTTCTGCTCTGGACTCTGATGCAGAAAACCTACAGAACTCTATGGCAGCAGCGGAGGCATCGAAGAAGCAGTACGTTTCAGGCGGCTTGTGGCAAGAAAGCCTATTTGGATGGTCACTAACAGAAACAACAGCTCACGCATTCTTGAGAAGTCGATGCCTACACAAAAAAAGCCATCAGCCAAGGCGAAATCCAAGTATCTATCGAGCATGGCTTCATATGGTACAGGCGGCTCTCTACCGTCTTCCCCAGCGTTGACAGCGGTGGGGTCTCCATCTCTTAATCAAGGCTACGGTGCTTCACAACAATCTCGGGACAAGGCCAAGGGTCAGAGGACCATGATTGTCCACGAATTAGCCGCAGCAGATCAGTCTTATGACTTCCTGGAATCAAAATGGGATGGCAAGGCGGACGACTTCAAGCTTACGCTCGAAAAGGTTGCCGACTTCGACAACAGTGCACAAAAATGGATGCTAAAGAGACTTTACTGGAAAGAACTGGACGTTTGGAGATATGACTACGACAGTCCTGACGATAGGCAAAAGGCTATCGACAATGCCATTCGGGCCTTCGACAAGATGCGGTTGGGAATTGAGGAACCCGAATGGCAAAAACTGCTGCCCAAAGACGAGCGTGGGAAGGGAAAAATCCTGAGCAAACTGCAAGCCAACATCGCCAAAGGCCCGGCTGTGCCAACACCGAAGATCAAGGTTCAAAAGGCCGACGATGGGACAAGCGATGCGGGCGGCGAAGACGCACTCAAGATCGATGATGGGAGGAGTTCGGTGCGATCCAACTCATCGTTGCCGGGGAAAAAGAAGGTCAGCAGCGCCGATGCACAAGTCAAGAGGCTCTTGTCGAACAAGCCCAGCAAACCCAAAGCAGCCCCGGCAAAAGCGCCAGCCTCCAAGTACGCGAAGGACAGGCCTTCATCGTCTGCACCGGTAAAGGGTGGCAAGGTGCTCTCAGCGGAGTTCATCTCAGACTCCGATTCAGAGTCTTCAAGCAATAAGCCGATGGCAAGTGTCTCGTCATCGAAGACCAAGAGGCCATCGCCGGCCCCGGCTCCTAGACCGAAGGAAAAGCCAGCCCCTGCTTCGGCCCCGGCCCCGCGACCAAAGTACCCTCCTAGACCGAAGCCTGTCGAACGGCCAGCCGAGCAGTCAAATGAGCGACTAGTGGATCGTGAGCCCACAAGGCAAGCCAAAATACAAGCACCGGTCAAGCGGCGCAGGGACGAGGAACCGGAGGAGAGCAGCTCAAGTTCGGGCGCGCCGCTCGCCAAGCGTATGAAGCCGAAAATGTCAACAACTGGCGAGAAGGCACCGATCAGGCCTCCAACGAAGCTCAAGCAGCGACCCATCCCTGCGGACACGACACGGAACTCCTCGGCCTCAAACGGCAGTCTCCCTTACAAAGCCACCAAGAACACTTCGCCGACCAAATCTTCGCCATTGGCCTCCTCGCCGCCAACGAATGCTTCCGATCTCGAGCAGCGGCGCCAGCTCCCTCCGGACCTGGCCCCTATCAACCGCAAGCGCAAAGTCACTGCTGATACTTCTGATGATGGCTTGTCAAGCAAGGGTAGCACTACTAGTGCCGACAGCAATAAGCGATACAAACCCATTGGTCAGGATCTTGTTCGCAAAGCACACAAGTTCAAGATGTTCTATGAGAAGTACGCATCGCTGCACCGAGAGATTGCGAGCATGGACCATCCGCCAAAGGATCGACTGGCCGATCTGATCGATATGCGACAGCGGTTACAGAACATGAAGACGGACATCTACAGAGAGTGCCCGCCTGCCATCACGGCAGTTTAGAAATGATCTCTGTAGGTACAATGAGTGTACGATGAACGGCCGAGGGGTGTGCGGACAGCGTCATGAAAGGACCTTTCAAGAGCGCCTCAGCTCAAACGAACCAAAGCATCAGCAACAGCGTTTTGTTTTCTTTCATTATTTCTTACAGTTTAGTGGGGCATTTGCATCAGACCAGGATAAGGTCAGGATATTGGCGACACCGGCTAAGGCCCAGGTCATTCTGCTTTTTGATATTGCATGGACAAAATGGCAAGATGGAGCCAGCAGCTGCGCCTGGGGACAGGCCAGCGCAAATCCACGTTCTCTCTACCTCTTGATACCACAAGCTGTCATAGTTGGACAGACAGAATATGCCTGATTGAATTTAACGGAAATGCTGATTTGTGAATTCAAAGTCGAATCTTTTGGTGGCACCAGTAGTACTCTTTCAAACCCCCCTCAGTGAACGACGAAGGGGCATTCATCGCCCTAACCTAAGACAACTTTCCTCGTGACGACATGACCGCAACTTTTCTCCCTGCATCCACCACATGCGGAAACACGCACCGTTTAGTGTTAGCCCAATCTTCAGTTTTCTGCTTCTTCTGCTTACTTTTACTTTTCTTCTTTCGCCCCGTTTTTTCTCCCTCTCCAAAAAAGAGCCTTCAAGCTGGCACGAGACATGGTTGCAAGAGGGGAAATCATCTTTGGCATGCGGGTGGGAAAGTGGCCAATCGGCAGGGCGACGCGGATCGGCGTAGAGGTCGTCGATCAGGGAAGGGGGGGGTGGATGACTGCCTGCCGGGCGATCAGGGCATGGTGCGGGATCGTTGGGGGGTTTCTTGAAGGGGCCCAGCCAGGGGTGGGAAGGGGGGGGGGGGGGGGGGGTCACAATGGCGGTGGCACCAGCTTACTTGGGCCTCCTTGGTTTTGGTCCTCCTTGGGTTTGGTCCAGTTTCGTCTGAATTGTTTGAGCTTGGTGGGTTTCCGTCTGATGGTATATTTGATTTTGAAGAAACCTTCACGTATCACTACGATGGCTCCCTGCGCTGGGCTTTAAGTGCACTGGCCCTTGGTGGCGAAGATCCCTGTCAACTGGACGAAAGCACTTGAGCGAAAAACTGAGGATTGACTCAACGACACAAACATGAATTGAGTATGAATGATGGCCATGGTGGGGGAAAGTGCGATTGATGGTCTCTGATTGACAATCGCGCCACCTGTGATGCAGATGTCAAACCGCGATCAAAAATCACTATGCCGAATGGCTACTGAGAGTCAAAAGGCAAAGCACCGTCGATTCAACCATATATATTACCGTCAGGGTATCGCCATTTGGCTTCTCCCCTCATCCGCCCTGGTCAGCAGCAGCTCGCCCATTTCATTGCAGCGACGACACATTGGTTGAGACCGCATCTTTACGCACTGCAGGTGCCGGATCTGACCATCGGCGCGCCTGTGGTCCAGCGGCTCTCGTAGACGGCTTTTTTCTTTTTTTGATAAAAGCAGAATTAATATCCGTCACAAGTCCATAATCTCTTCGGTGTCGACTATGCTCCGGGCGCCCTTCGACTCAGAAAACCGCCGAATGCATTCTGGGATCCATTCTCGCGCTCCATCGTGGGCTCGCACAAGACCCTCCTTTCCCCCCGAGTATGTCCTGCCCCGCGACCGAGACGCACGTGAAGGTGGCGATGGCGACCTTATCTTCGAACGCGCACGCAACAACGCCCCCGAATTAGATAGTCAGGCAAAGGTAGTGTCGTTGCAGATCGGGCTTCGCCATCTGAGAGACGCTTACGTGGAGGCCAAAAACCAATGTCAGGGAGCCCTCGACGGCTTCGACACAGCAACTCAAATGGTTGCGTCGTTCGCCGGACCAAAAGCAATCTGCCAATTGTGGCAAGATTATCTACGACACCGGCACAGTACTCGGGTTGGAATGGACACTGCACTGGATGGTGTCAACTATTGTCTGCTCAACTTGGGACAGCAGCGTAATCGAATTACACTGCCCAAGCCGTTCGGCAAGCACCTCAGTAGAATAGTCAAGAGGGGACAACATATCATAAGGGACTCTGCCGAAGCCAAGACCGAACATAGGGCGGCAAATCGGCTCGTCATGAGTATCACAGCAGCTGCTGCTGACGTCGATCCTGACTCTGAAGCCAACTATCGCATGTTGTACGCTGTGGATGCGTCACTTATTAGACAGAATAATGGCGGTCCAAAAACGAACAAGTCCCCGGAGGACGACAATACAGATGCCAACGATGGCAACCCGGTTTGATGAGACGAGTTGCGGAAGAGCCACCGTCAAGTGGAACGAATCAAATACGCTTGTGGAAACAAATTTCGACAAGAGCCACTGTTTGTAGTTTTCGAGAAGTCGCGAGCCGTCAGCGAAAAGGAAGCGCGAGTCACATCCGTAATGTCAAAAGGATGGGCAGGGAGTCGGACGCTGTGATGTCGAGGCCATGGCTATCTAGATCTAGGAAGACTGCGCCGCACTCATTCATGCGGTCAAGACAATTCAATTAGTAGTATTCCAGAATCGAGAGGGAAGAGTGGCGTCGTGATTTGGAGTAACTGACCTTGAAAAAAGGACCAAGCATCGCCCTCTAGACAGAATGATCGGAATCGAGTTTTAGACGACACCAGCTGGGCAAAGCCAAGCCAGTGACCCCCAAGTCGCGCATCGCACTCAAGTACTTTGTACAATCTCCGCAACGGCTTCCCATAGGGATCACCAGGACGCGCCTCGTCGTCCCCCCGAGGGGGTATACACGAAGCGGCCTGGGCCCTGAGATTTCTGATGCCTGTTGCTGGCGCCGATGGCGCCGAACCCTCACGGGCGGCTCGCGTCAGCCCGCGCGTGGCAGGTGACAACGGTATGTTCTTCGTAGAGATTTGCTCCGAATTTCCCGCATGCAAATGAGTGTCCCTTGAGAGGTCGACTCGAGATTCTGCTTGCACAGAATCTCTGTTCGTCAGCATGGAAGCGCAACTGTGTCTAGAGGGCGATGCTAGGTGAGGAAAGAAAGAAGATTGCGGGAATGGCATTTTCGTAGCTCCAAACTTTTATTGCGGTCCAGTGTGGGGTCTCGCCTGGGCCGTGACTCAGGGTGCCTCGCCTATGATGGCAGCCTCGCAGGTCAGGCAGCCAATCGGGAGCTGCAATGCTATCAGGCCAAGAGGGTAGGAAAGAGTGAAGGGTCCTGTCTTCATGATGCCCCCCACCTTCCCTTTCCCCTCAGGGCACCCCGCATGTGGATCATAGCACGAAAAAGGGGTGTCGATATCGTGGGGGTTTTTTGGTGCGATCCCGTCAACAGCGACAAATTCTTGATCACCCGTTGAAAGACCCCGCCGTACTCATGAAGCTGCATTGAGGGTCCATCGCAGTGTCCTATTTGATATATATGTCGTCGCCCTTTTCTTTCCTTATCTCGATGCCATAATCATATCATTTCAGTTTCAAACCCCTACGTCATTTGAGTCGTTGGTATCCAAGGCAGTCAGGATGCTCGAACCCAAGGACTTTCCTCAGATGTGGCAGAAGCCTTCAAGCCAAGATCTACGTTCCTGTTTGCAGAGCCTGGAAATGAGCCCAACCATATGGAGCCATACGAGCCGTCAGCCACAGATTGAGGAGGACCAAGAGGCTACAGCATATGTGCGACGCGAGATGTCGATGTATCTTTCCTCTATTGTCAAGAGTGGATTGACCTGGATCGATGACGAAGAGGAGAAGGAGTTCATCTGGTCAGAGGCGAGCCGGAGATTATCAGAGCGCTGTGGCAGAACAGGTAGGTGCGTTCCCCTTCTGCATTCCAACCATTTTTGACAGTTCTAGCCATGGGCGAAATCACACGTCGTTGGCCCTTCAGGGAAAGCGAACGACCAAATGACTTCGAATTGATGATCCGAGAGCCGCCGCTGACCGGAGATTCGCTCGGACACAAGACATGGGGCTCCTCCTATGTACTCGCAAGGCACCTACCACAGCTAACGTCAACTTCGCTGGCTCGACTATTTGCCGAAAGTCATGAAGGGTCTCGGCTTACAGTTCTCGAGCTTGGGTCAGGGACAGGGCTTCTCGGGATCGCTGCAGCAGCTTTGTGGAGGGTCGACATTGTGCTGAGCGACCTACCTGAAATCATGGCCAACTTGCACCATAATGCTGATGTGAACCGATCCGTTGTTGAGTCTCTCGGGGGCTCGCTGAATGATGGTGCCTTGACATGGGGTAGCACATCCGAGGATGAAGTTGATCAAGCGCTGTTCGGGGAGAAGAATCAGTTCAAAGTGAGTTCACACAGTCTTGTCGCACTCATCAGCTGACAACGAGCGAAGATTGTTCTGGCTGCGGACCCAATGTACGACGATATTCACCCTGCTCTTCTCGCTGGCGCGTTTTCAGAGCATCTATCATTCGACAGCGACTCGCGAGCTGTCGTTATGGTTCCATTACGTGACGAAACGACCAGGAACCTCATGAAGACCTTCAGAGCCTCTATGGAAGCAGGCCCTGACGTATTGCAATGCATAGAGGAAGGCACGCTCGACGGTCAGGATGACTGGGGCGAGGGCGACGACAGCTCTTTGATTAGTTGTTGGTGGGGGATGTTTGCTCGCGCCGAGACAAACACATAAAGACGACTGAAAACAGATTAACAATCTACCTGAAATGGTTGAGTTTGCTGGTGGAGAGCATTCCTATATCCCATCGCCCCTGGCGGAATATTTACACCACGGCGCGCGAGGGCTCTCAATGACGTACGCTTCCCTTCTCAACCAACACCGAGCACCTGCCAGCATTGAAAGATATCTTTCTGCTTCAACCTGGCAACCGCGGTCTGAAGAAACAAAGAGAATGGAGCCGCGTAGCCAGACCTGCCCTGAGCCGACCACCACCCTGTCCTATCTACCCCTTTTAGTCACAACCGACCTTACCACGCCCTGTGCGACCTTCTCACAGTGCAGAATACCATATCAAGCCCAGCCCATTGGTGATTCACAATACTGGATTCTCGGTTATAAAGTCGAGCAGGTCATGGATCAGACACGACTTCACAATTCTGCAATCATGCATACCTTGCACATAACTGAAACTCTACATCAAGTCTGTGCATCCCAAACAATTACGGCTTTTTCATGAATAAACCTCCGAGAGATTCAAAAGGAAACTGAGCAGCATGGCTGGCAAGCCAAGCTATACAAGGAAACAAATTGAGTTTGTTCTCATCCATATTCTCGACAAAGTCGCCCTGCATAGAATCATCGATGCCTTTAAGGAGACATTTAGCCAGGATGTGACTATTGGGCAGATTAAATATTTAAAGAGCAAGTACGGCAAAGATCCAGACTATGGGTAAGAAGCGGATCCTTCTGTCATCAAAGATCAAAACTCACACGGAATACAGGTCGCCTCTTCTTGAAGGACGTGTGAGGATAGTGGAAGAACTGGCAACCTTGTAAGTTTGTCGCCTTGCGTCATTTTCAATAACAAGCTCTATCATTTGCATGCTCAAGATTAGGACACAAAAGCTGACAATTGTTCAAGGCGCACTCCAGCAGATGCAATTTTCCCTTATCAACCATGCCAACATTTGGGGTTGTCTCAGACGGCAAGTGAAGAGCAGAACCGGACAGGACATGCACCATGGAATCCTTGTAATGGTCTTCCAACTCCTCGTGTACCTGCCGAAAACTTCTCCCTTACGGATTATCAAAAGACCATCACGGAGCAAACAGGCAGAATGGCGTGTGCTGATGATTATTACCCTGCTCGGCAGCCATCACAACCTCTTCATGCTAACACACCTATGGGACATGGCCCGTATTGGACCAACAACTTGCCACAAGAACCTTCCGATCCCTACAAAATCTTGAGTCAGGTTCCGCCAAGGATCAGAGATACAGGAGATACTACCTCTTCTAACTATCATCTTTGGGCGCCGAGAGATGACCAACTGCAGCAAGTCGGGGTCACTTCGCCAGTGTCTCCGACTTCAAATGCTTCTGATATACCTGACAGGCTCATGTCCAATTTCGAGCATTGGAACGCCCAAAAGAGCCCCTATCAACCGTCGCAACAAGGATATGGCGACCAATTTGTACAAGGGCACAGTTGCTTATTATCCGACAACTCGCTGTCGTACACCTCACGTAATACGGACGGACCGGAAACCTCGTGGGATACCGTCGGAAGTCCTCAGGAGGGACAGACTATGCCGAACGGTCAGCTCAACAAAACCCAAAATAGCTATCAACCATTCGCCTCTCGGCAGCCGCCTTCAAACACCCCACGACTCGGTCTGCAAGATGATCCATGGCCTGGTCTTCCGTCAGGGGCTCAATCTCAACGTTCAATGTGGCCCGCACTGCAGGGCCTTGAGGATCTACCACCTCCATCTTACTCTGAAGATCATCCAGGGCTGGAAAACACAATTACAGCTTCGCATATCAGTACTATGGGATAGATTCCCGATGGTATAGACGATAGTCTGTTCAAAAGTTCCTTCAACTCGAACCTAACACCTCATGAGACCCAAGCCTTACAGATAACCATCGACATGCCTCAAGCAATGCCCGACGAAACCAGCAATGGTATTGGCCAGTGTGGCAATACATTTCAAGAAACCGCCGGATACAGGAGCCACGATGCGTCAACCACCGACGCGGATGTCGACCAGCAGTCAAGCTACAGCAGCGATGCTCTAGAGCTGGTTCGCCACACCCACGACCACGCAGCCGCACGAGGTGTTGGGGAGGGCTGGAGTTTCTTTGACGAGGCGGTGGCGTTCGCCGATCCACGGACGGGGAGCATGGATGAGCATGGCGTTCTCGACGAGGCCGATACGCTCCTCGCAGCGGCTTTTACAGATTCCGAAATGGCTGGCGCATACATGGACTGAGCTGATGGGCGCCTGTGATGGGTGGAGGGTGGCGAGTGCGGGATAGGGCAGATATTCACGGCTGAGGCATCTCTAACTCTCAAAGCACGAGGTAATGATATCAAACGCTCTACTCTTCATTCTGGAAACCTCGCGGTAAAAAGACGGTCCCGGTGATGCAAAGTTACGACCCTTTGACTCACCATTGAGCAGCGTCATCTGTTCTAGTTGCTACGATATCACAAATTCACATTAGTTGAAAGGGATAAAGCACCGACTTTTTTAAGCCTGATCGTGTTCATGTAATATGTTCAACTCCGACTCATCTACCAATTCATAAATAGAAGAACGCTCGCTGAGGAAGTCGTCAATGTTAGTTCGTATGGACAGTCCTTGTCCCGCATGAAACGAATGATGGCAATATAGAGGGCCTTCCTCCGAATTTCAACAGTCCCGCCGCCGCTGCCGAGCGCCGCCAGAGCCTTTCAGAATGGGTATCTAGTGCATGAGGTAGAGAAAATGGAGGTGATTTGCGCAGAAAGGAACATTAGCATCCTTTGGAAGGTAATATTTCCAGATGGTCTGTAATCTGGAGCGAAGGGGATGGCTCGTCGAGGGCAGAGCAGCTGAGATGCAGAAAGTAGTACGTTCCCATCAGATCGCGATGCTTACGCTCTTTCTTGTCTCCGCCTCTTCAATAGGGAAACCAAAGACGAGTCGGAACAAATCTTTGAGGAAAATGTACTGTGAGGACCGGTGTGCCATGAGATTGACACTCTTGGCGACATCAGGGGCTGAGGCCCGTTTGCCCCTGGCGGGTAAAATAGCTGCTGGACCTCTGAAAGCAGCATCGCCAAGGACGGAGTTCCGATAATTTTGGAGCAGTGTTGCCTGTGAGGGAATGTTTCCGAACGATCCGTTAGGCAGTTGCTTCACGAAGGACTGTAGCGCTGCAGTCCCAGTCTTGCCGTCATTGGTGGGGTCGCGAACATAGCCGACATTCATGGCTGCCTTCAGCATCAACGCTTTGATGCGTGTAACATTTATATCTTCCCCAGCTGTCGCCGTTGTTGCGGTACTCGAAGTCTTGGCACTGGACTGGGAGTATGACGATAGGTTTGATGCGCTGCTAGACCACCTGCCGCCGCGGCCTGATTCGGATGTGGTGCCGAGTACAAGGATATTGGGCACTCTGGGCGACTGACTTTCAGGCGAGATCGGGGTGTCTTCGAATTCTGTAACTGGAGTCTCAGGAACTGGAGGTGGTTTGCGGGGCCGTTCATCAACTAGACTTTTGTGGCTCTTTTGCGTCGAATGCAAGGAGGAACGATTCGAGGTGCGGCTCTCACGCCCTGAGGGCTGTTCGTTGACAAAGAAGCTTGTTTGGCTCGGGCGAGGGGTATTGCGGTCCGGTCGAACTTGAGTCCATCCGTCTCGGAAAATATCGCACAGATCCCAGCAAGCCTGTACAGCCGACCCCAAGAGTTCCTCATCGGGAGCTTTGCCGTCGCGTCTGTTTTGTCTCAAGCTGAACAGCATCTCTGCCAAAGTCCAGCAGGCCTTGAGTAGAGAGTCTGTCTCCTCTGCCAACTCGCTCCGTTGCTTCATCAGCCGATGGCACAAGGTTATGTAGAAGTCCAGAGTCCTCTCTCGGAACTCCTCCGGAAGGTTTCGGCTGTCTTGGGCGCTGTATAGGCTATTGTTAAGTCAGTAGCCACTCTCGTAACAAGCAGTCATGTGGGGGCACGTACTGGTTGTTGAGTTCGAAGCTTACGCGGAGAACCGAGTCGGCAATCTCTTCTTTCTTCTGCCGAACATCGAACAGCGACTGGCAGAAATCGCGGCACAGGTCTAGACTCTCGCGCACATTAAAAGACACAATGTCTTCGTCCCTGTTGTCGTACAGTCGTTGGCACAGCCTCCAACAAGCCATCCATGCCTTCTCGTGGGCATCGGGAAGGCCTGAGCTGTTGAAGACACGAGCTCTATGAATTGAGCTCAGGTTTGCCAGCGTGTTGCAAAGCGTCCAGCATTCTCTGAGTGCTGTCCGGAGCGCCTTGATCTCCGACTCTTCTCTTGGTAAACCGGGGGTTGCAAAGGTCTCATCCTCATAAGGCTCAGCCTCGGTATCTGTCTCCCTAATCTCATCGATTTCTGTACGTTGTCAGAGGATAGGCCGCCAACACGAAGACGAATACATACTTTCAAGGCTGCTAGTACTGCTTGACCTCAGTCTTGAAGACTCGCTCAACATGTCCTGCAGGTCCTGAGCTCGAGGCGTGGCACTGTCCAAACTGTACCTTACAGCACTGATATTGGTCGTCAGGGGAGGGGGGTGAGGGAACGTGGGCGACTGTCGAAGGTAATTAGTATGAGCTGAGTAAATACGGGAGCACTCAAAACACTTACCCTGAGCTGCTCCTGCGCATGTGTTGGCAGAGCGGTGGTATCCGTCTTGGGCGATGATTTAGTGCTGGTGTGCTCTGACTTTGTTGTCGGCTCAGAAGAAGTCTGCCTCCGTTAGTAATTGTGGCGAACACAGAGTAGTGTTTGCATGTAGCCCACCCATGCCTGGAAGCTCTCAGGAGCGTGTATCACGGAGACTGCTTCTTCGGTTGTCGGCTGTCGCAGATGATCGGGCAAATTCGTCGCCAGCATTCGAAGCTACATAGTATGTTACTAAGGAGCTCAAATAAGGGAAGTGGAAAGAGCCGACCTGTGGAGGAGACGATGCATGAGCCATGATGTGGGCATCGCTCTCTTCCGCTTCTTCATCCTCGATCTCGGTTGTTTCAGTTCCGTTCGAGGTAACAGGCGAGGGGCCGACGATATCACTGGGGCTCATGAGATTCATATTGCTGACGGGAAGCCTTTGGATGGAGCTCGGTCGCAGGGAGTTGGAGTATGGAGCCGAGCGATCTGAGCTCGCCGAAGACCTGTAATCAGGTGTTGTCAGTCTTGTAGGCCATATCATGACATCGCCACGGCGTTACGAACATGCTGATGAAGGGCGACTGAAGAGCCTCCGAGTCTGGCGACGAGACAGACATGTCTTTGTGATGGTGGGAGAACCCCGAGAGCTGGCTACCGATGGACGATCGCAATGGCCCTTCGAGTGCCATGACTAAATCAACCGATGCAATAATGAGACAGCGTGTCGATCGCGAGCGGTTCCTTTGGCCGTGGTCGCTGGCAGTTCGCGATGGGAGGATCGCCTCCCTTTAAAAACTACAACAGACTTCGACAGTAACGTTTGCTGAGCGCCTTGGCCGATCAAGTTGGTCGCTAATGGAGAAGGAGGGCGCAGTGGAGATATGATCCCGTTGGCGGAGCCAAGTAAGGCGGTGCCGAGCTGCGCGACAGGTCTCGTCAGGCCGGCCTGGTGGTCTTTTGAGCTCTGCCACAGACGAAGGGCTAGCTCGTGGAAAAGGGTGAAGCTTGGAGGAAAGGACGGCAGGCACTCTTAAGGCAGATGACCCAGATGATGGTGGTGGGTTGAGGAGGGATTGGGGGATGGGGGTAACGGTGGTGGCCAAGGGTCTAGTCTGCGGCCGTCTGTGCCTCCCACCAAGGTGACCGGGGCCAGGTAGCTCGGTACGGAAGTGCGCCTGTCGACAATTTCCAGAACCTCCAACGTCCAGGGGACCCAGGTTCGCCCAGGGGAGCGTGGAATTTACGGAGACGGAGGTTGGGGTTAGCTTGACGGTGCCCGTTTAGTGCATTGGAAAGGCTAGGATGGTGCCTCTTCTTTGACTACTAGATGTGTTGTGATGCTAGCTGTCAGAGCTACTGCTGGTGCTGCTGTCTGTGACTGATGAACAATCAATTCAGCTGCGACCTAGTTAGGCGGCTAGGCGCTAGTCGCGAGAAAGTGAGGGTTGCAGCTCACAGCGGGATTGCTGGACTGGCTCAGATATCCAACTGGAGTCACTTGCTTGCTTACCGTTGATACGAACTTGAATATCCAAGTTGTAGTTGATGTGTAACTTGGGACGCGCATCGCGGAAGAGCTGGCGACTCACTCACGACGAGCCAGTTGGACAGGGATTCCCCGATAGATCAAAGGCAGAGCGCGGTGGACGCAAATTGACAAGCACCCTGCAGCAGATGTGGTGAGTTCTGAGTAGGGTGCTCCATTCAACATGACAGCCATGGAGACGAGTTCACCAGTAGAATTGGAGAACGACCCAATGACTCTGCCCTACGAACATGTACCTGGATCAAGGGCACGAGGAACAAGGTATGGCAGCCCAAGGCATGCGGATGTGGTGTCAGGCAGGTACCGTCCTCTTCGCCCGAGGTAGCTCGATGATGCCAGGGTACTTTGTAAGCCTGGTGGAGGGGACGGGAAAGATGGTACAGAGTAACACCACTTAGGTTTGCAGCTGCGCGTCTTTTTCCTCGAGCAGCTTCGAGACAACCCTCTGGGGAAAGGCGGCCAGTGGGAGCGTGCGCAGACAGCGTGATGTTGCGAGACGGGGTATCCAAGTGGGGTGGTGGGCTGCAGGGAAAGCGACAGGCGTCGGCGCTTAACAGCCTGCATCCACATGGTCTGTTGTCGAGTCACAGGCGTTCCCTGCCTGATATGCCTCCACCGAGGTGCTTCCAAGAGCTCCGCTGGTGGGCAGCTCCTTTGAAGCTAGGCCGGAGCCAGCCTAGAACGACAGCGTTGGTGATCGTGAACCTTGTGAAGGTGGGCACCGCGCGATTCCCGATATCCCAGGCAGGCTATGTTCTGATGCGAGGGCAACAATCGGATTGTTATGCGGTCTGGGTCTCCATGCGGACACGCGTGGCTCCTCACTGGCCTTGCGACCCAAGGCGCTTGAGCGCTAACGGGAGGGGGGAAGTCCTGCTCGCCCGGCTATCGCTGCAATTTCATGGCGAAGAAAAGGAGCCTTTGCATGCTGCATAGGCCCGTCGAATCCGTGCTGGCGAAGAGCTGTCCCACTGCCTGCCCAGGTAAGGCGGGAATGTTTCGGATGTGATGTGCTACTATTGAGGTTGGTCGATGGCCAGCCAGAGGGAACGCATACCGGGCACAAGCTCCGGGCAGAAACTGCAGGCATTATACCCATGTTGGTCATGGAAAACATGAACTGCCCGTGGTCTTGGCACCCCAATTGAAACACGTCTTACCGTTCGCCAATCCCATTGTCGCTTGGCCTCTCGCTCATCGTAGGTTTCGGTCTCGGCAGTTGATCTCACTTTGCCAGTGTCGTCTCTGTAAGCCACGTTGGATGGCAGCTTCAACAAGTCTTGAGGCTGCGTTTTTCTGATGAAGCCGCCACAGTAGTAGCATCCTCCTAGGCAGAACCAGCCTTGTCATCTCTTGATGTCCGCAGAGGGGGCGGGAGAGAGGGAGAGAGAGGCCGGAGGAGGCTAGAAACGGTCGCCAGATCATGTTGGCCCAACGGTCCAGGATGGAGAAGGAACCGTGGCGGACCACGGAAGAGGGCTGAATGTCAAGTCCAGCAGATGTGTATCGCTCCCAAGGATCTGGTCCGGCGGCTGTCTATTCGTGTGGGAAGGCAGGCCAGGTGTGCTTGTGGGGCCTTCCAGCAAGCAGAGGGAAAGCGCCTATGGCATGTGGTGGAAGGTGCATCCTTGCAGGCCTTCTAGGTTGAGACAGGCAGACGCGGGGTCACTGACGATCAGCTATGTGCTACTACGCAACTTGTTTTGGGCACGCTTTGTGAGAAAAGTCGAATGATTCCGACCACGGTAGATAGAGGCAAGCAAGTATCGGCAGACGTTGCGTTCCTCTCTTTCTCCACTGCAATTGATGGTGGGAATCTCATGTCGAATCGAGTACGCGACACCGTCAGGCGGTATTGGACCTTTGAAGAACCAACAGCATCGTGTCTAGATGCCCTGGCCCTCCACCGTCCCAGCCAGCTGTTTTGGTGATGTGATTATGTCTCCCCTATCACGGCGCTAGGAGGTCTTACGGCCGGTAAATCAGCCCGTCCCAAATATCGGGTCACGACCACAGCCTAGACCCGGCCCTGTTGCCGTATGATCCTCCATGGTCCAGCATTCTGTTGCTCACCGCCGATGATTGACACGACACCTTTTTCCATTCAAGTCCACTACCAGGTATCTTTTTCCATTACTTTGACATTTGGGATTTCTTTTCGACCCGTCGACCAATGCAGTACCGCTTGAGCACGAAGATGCGCCAAGGCCATCGAGACACACAACTTGCCTGCCATGCCGACCTCTTCGTCACGTACGCGAACCACATTACCTTGCATAGGCGCCAGCATCCTTGACACAGTGTCGAAAAACACTGCCACAAGCGATTTTCCCTGGTCACAGATCCGGTACAAATGCTCATCGTCTGGCCAAGCGAATCCTTCCGCGGCTACTGGGCCCATTGCGTTCGTCCCGTTCCTCCAAATCGCGTGAACACCTCATCGTTAAAGCTGCGCGTCGCTTCGTGTACTGTGAATATCCCAAGAGAAGCTATGACATGATAAGAAAGAAAGGCCCATGTCCCGTCTCAGCTCAAAACAATGCATCGCGTCGACGAGATGCAAGCCGGCATGACGGTGGACCTCTGCTCTGTTGGGCCAATCCCCTCGCCTTGTTGGTGGCTTTGTTTTGCGTCTTGTTGGTGTTGGGTGTGCCATCTCGGCGCCTGAGTAACCTCGCCGACAACAACGCAGGCATCGACAGCCCGCGGATGTTGCTCTTCTTCCGGAAAGTCAGTTGGCGATGCTTGCGGCAAAAGCTGTGCCTCGTGCAGGTCGTGTTTTGAGGGCCGACATGCCGCAGTAAATGCACTCCACCCAACGTAGACGACTGCTCAATCTTGCAGTGGTAGCTCCAGTCAAAGGGAGTTTTTTTGTGTTGGCCAGGCTCTCGTTAGACCTCGTTGCTACTTGGTATGATGTACAAAACTCCCGATACGCATTTGGACACCGAGCGCCAGCTCTCTCTTGAATGTGGCATGCCCAAAGATCGTAGCCGACAGGAGACATGTGTGACCTATGATGTGCCAACGAGGTTCAGAACTGCCTGTAGAACCCAATTCCCCATCGCTACTACCAGCGTGGTGGCCGACAATGGTCAGACGCGGCCCATTATCTCAACGGCGGAACATCATCTGACCGCCATATCAAGACTCTACTTGGCGTGATATCGTAGATGAAAGAGGTGTACCAGGGTCGAAAGTAAACCCTGCTGGACTACTGCAAGTCCCCTTGCCGAAGAAGGTATGCTCCGCAGAGCTGGCCGTCTGGTGTTGGCCCAAGCACAGCCGCCGGCAATAATCCTCAAGCGCAGCGGCGCTTGGGGAACGCAAGTTGGACAGTGAAGCAACATCAAACCAGAAAGACAGGCAGGGATTTCATGCTCGAAGGATCGATGTGGCTTTGCGATGCTATGTTACTGTCATTCACATGACGAGCAGGACACCGAGTGGGTGGTAACACTCGGCCTTGGCCAACAAGGAACGCCCCGTCGACGCCCCTTTTTGACAGGTCTGTTATGGCAAGAGCCGTGAAATGGAAAGCAGACGCGAAGATGAGCTCATTTGTATTGTGTATTCTTAGGCAGACTTCCAGGGCTGTGCTTGACGGATGATACCTAGACTGGTATCATCGGCAACTTACGATCCATGGCATGGCTGGTACCATAGTGATGCACCGATGACATGGCCAACACGACCTGCGGGTTGCTAGCCCCGGGGCCCTACTGATCTCACTACCTCTGGCATGACACATTACTCAATCTCCTCTGGTTTGGCCCAGTGGAGGAGGATGCCTGGCTGCATTGCTTTCGTTGTGGAAATGCAAACGGGGTGTTTGTACAGGCAGTAGTGACAGCGCTGAGAATCGAAATACGCGTGCCGAGGCCCACGAGCCGAGCCAGACGCCGACTTCAGTCACTGAGCAAAAGGTCTGGCATTCGTACAAGCTTATCAGACATGTTTGCCGCGTCCTAGGATTGGTGCATAGTCTCAGCGCCTGCTCTATTCCGTGGCTCGAAAACCTTCCTTCCAGTGTACCCTTAAACGCCTTGCAATGCTTTGTTCGTGTGTGTGAAGACCCCCAGGTCATTCGAATGGCCGTCTGGATGCGCCTACTTATGCGGGCAGATTGTTCTTCTTTTCGTTACGACCGTCGGGAGTGTATCTGACAGTGTTAGCAGAGCGACTCTGAAGCTCTGGCGTGGCCACCGCACGTACTTCAGAAGCTTCTCGATCAGATCAACGTGGGTCATGATCATGCGACGGCAGCAGTATCGCTTGAGACCGAGCTCGTCCATAGCGTCTCTGTCGCATCCGTTAGCACTGGCCCCTCCGTGGAGTATTGATCCTCATCGTACCCATCAGCGATACCGTCGTCAATGAGTTTCAAGTAGCGCTCCCACAAGTCGCCTGTCACCTGTGATATCATCAATGGTGTGCCTTGCGACAATGGCGCAGGGGCTAACCAACCTTGCCGCAAGAAAAGCAGCGAACCGGGATAATCATCTTGGCGGCGTCGTTCAGGCGTTATCGGTATTATAGGAATTGAGGCATCCACCGTGTGTAAGGGTTACCGAGAGTCGGCTTTCTCGTAGGGGACGATGCTCGGCGAAGATGATCGTCGTCGCTGATTGAAGACTGTCGTCGCGAGAAAGGCGTGAGAGCCGTAGCCGTGGTATGGAGAAATTTCCTGGTGTAACGGGCATTCACCGGGTAATCCTTATCTTATCGCACCCTGAAGGTGGGGTGAGCTCACCAATCATGTGGTGCGTCTCTCTTGCGGGCCCCGAATTTTCAAGCGGGACTGGGCCTGGCAGCAACTTTTTTTTCTGAAGGCCTGCATCTGGAACTGCTTGTGAGCACTTCTGTGGTGATCAACGGTTGCCTCTGTATTCCACATTGCCCTGAACGACAGGACCAGCGCAAAAGGACAACGTGATGGTCGGCAAGACAGATAAGAAGCCCCGCGCGGGAGACGTGGACCCGAATAAAAAGAGGAAGCGTGACGCCAGCGACAAACAACGAAGCTCCGACATCAAGCGCAACCGCAAGGACGAGAAGCAAACCACGCCCAAGTCGGACAAACGAACATCGGCTGCCAACGAACTCAAGGGGAATGCATTGAAGGTTCTGTCCGAGTTGCAGAACGGCGAGACTGCGAATACCACCATAAAAACGAGAGACCAGAGTGAACTGCAGTCTGCGGGCGAGTCCAATGGCTGGAAGATCTCATCGCCATTGGGTGGCAGAATCGCTGATATCGACCCCGTTTTCAGCAGCGATGCGAAGTATGTTACATCCAAACTGCTACAGCACTCGTCTAACATGAAACAGGCACCTCATTCTCACATACCACACTTCCCTTCAAGTCTACTCTGTAGCAGACTCTCTCCTCGTCCGACGAATCCCCCTACCGATTGCGAAAGACAACAAAGATGGCCCTGCTGCCTCAGTTCTCACCACTCATCTCTCGCCAGTGGAACCAGACTTCGTCTGGGTTGGGTGCTCTGATGGAAGGATATGGAAATTCAACTGGAGACGGGGTATCAAGCCGGAAGATACCCTGATAACAAAGTCTCATACGGCACTGGACTTCTGCGTTTCCGCGATCAAGGTCAACGAGGAACTTCACGATGTTGTCTTTGTGTCGGAGAAAAAGCAAAATGACGAGGGCACCATTGTTGCATACTGCCGCAAGGGCGCTTCCCACCTCGCGTCCCAGATTCTCTTCAAGACCGTCCGACCGGACCAGGCGATACATGTGCTGCGCGCCACGGCTGATGGAAAATATGTGGTCGGTGCCCACTCCGAAGGCCTAGTGGTCGGAACGATCACTGGAAAGGACCTGGAACTAGAAGGCGACTTCTTCAACTTCGACACAAGTGACATCATCTGCACTTTGGATCTACGGGTCACTAGCCGTCAACAAGGCCTCTCGACACCCAAGAAGCAAACTGTCAAACCCAGCTCAGAGGTTCTCGATGTCATTATTGGATGTGGCCGAGGCTCTATCTTCTTGTATAACGACATCATGACGAAGCTGCAGAGCATGCGCGGTCCCAAGCCCAAGCAAAAAGAGGTTCAGGCCAGGAAGTTTCACTGGCACAGGCGGGCTGTTCGCAGCGTCAAGTGGTCAAGAGATGGTGAGCGCTCCATTGGGTTCCTTTGAGGGCCCGTCACTAATTTTCTCTCAGGTCACTATCTAGTCTCTGGTGGCTCCGAAAACACACTCGTCCTGTGGCAAGTCGATACTGCCATCACCACATATCTTCCCCATCTTCCCGGCGCTATTGAGAACATCGCTGTGTCACCGAGCGGCGCGCATTACGCAGTTCACCTTGACGATAACTCGGCAATGGTCATATCGACCTCTGAAATGAAGCCGGTCACGTACGTGTCAGGAATCCAATCTGCAGCTCGGTACTTCGCACAGCCTAAGGATACACTGGTGAAGAGGGTAGGAGAGGTCTCAAAAGAAGTCCGCCACCCTATTCCGGCAGCTCTCAGCCCTCTGGACGCAACGAAGCTGCATGTTTGCGTGGGAACGGGTCAGCAGGCCATGATGTCTGGGTCACAACAGTCAGCACCCATTCTTCAGTCTTTCGACCTTGATTCCTTTACCAGTGTTTCCAAGCAAGCATTGGCAAGGACACAGCCCACGGATGTAAACATAACGGCGCAGGGAAATCCCATTTCCGAACCGGCTATCACACACATTGCCTTTTCCTCGGATGCGCGATGGCTGGCAACAGTGGACGACTGGTCGCCGCCTACGGGAGACATCGACAACATGTCGCCTGACGCGAAGGAGCACCTTGTGCAAGAGCGTCGTGAAATCTACCTTAAGTTCTGGTCGGTCTCCGCCGAGGACGAATCCCTCGCTCTCACTTCACGCATCAATTCGCCTCATTCCACCAGCAGACCTGAGACCGTCCTTGCGCTGGCTGCGGATCCTGCCGCGCCACGATTTGCGACCCTGGGAGATGATGGCCTGGTCCGAATCTGGCATTTCAAGACGAGGCAGACTGATGGCCTGACTTCGAAAGATACCAAGGGCCAATCTTTACAGTCTTGGTCTTGCGGCCTTACGGTTGGCATGGGCAGCCATGTCGGGGCAGACGTGATCCCTGCCGCCGAGGGCCACAAGGCAGCCAAACGAAGCGGTAGCATGAGCTTTTCAGAAGATGGCTCGTCGCTGTTTGTTGCCTTTGGAAGCCGGGATGATGGGACTGTATACATCGTCGACACGCACACTGGCGAGACACGTACGATGCTGGAGAATATGTGGAAGGGCGATGTCCGTTCACTGCAGGTTCTCTCTCCGTACATTGTCACCCTGTCCAACGACCTTCGGGTCTATGATGTCGTGGCCGACGAACTGCAGTACGGCGTAAAGCTGCCTAAGAGGGATGCTTCCTCGGTGCCTGCAGCTTTTTCTCATCTTCAAGTCGATAAGAAGTCCCGCACTTTCGCCATGGTCGTTCCATTCACATACTCTTCCCAGATTGCGGTCTTCAAGCCGGAGGACCCTCAGCCTCTCTGCATCGAGACGGTCCCCCACCGCATTACGAGCTTGGTGTCATCTGCGAGCTCCTCGGGCTTCGTAGCTCTGGACGATGCTGCTCAGCTCTGGAGCGTCACTGAGGTTTCGGACCAGTCTGCAATCTCCCTCTCCAAGCCTCTCGAAGATCTGCGTCTCGACACGACGGTTGAGGATGATGCGATTAACGGCGACGCCGATGAGGATGATCAGGCCAGCGAGATCGATTTTGCTACGGACGGAGACAACATGGAGCTGGATGATGACGAGACACACACCGCGATCGTGAGCAGGCAGAAGCTCGCCGAGCTGTTTGACGCTGCGCCGGCCTTCGCCATGCCGTCAATCGAGGACATGTTTTACAAGGTCACCGGACTACTGACCACGAAGCCGCTGGCAAGCACTGCTGCGTAGAATTGTATGCAAGGCGTTCTTGAATCTATGCTGGGCATTTTGACGGGTTTGTCTGTTTTTGCATGAGCAGGGAAGAATAAAAGGAACAACGGCGGAAGATGAGGGCCGTTTCCTGCCGACAGAGGTCGGATCGGCTAGCCAAGACATGCGGGGTTGACTGTCAAAAGGCACTGGCGAAGGGCGCCGTAGACCGATAGCCGGCCGGAATAAATAACGCCATCCGTCCACTTGATGAGATGACTGGACAGTGAAGCGCATGTATCATTTTCTTAGGTTCAATCCTCAACATCATTCGATTCTGTCCATACCAAATCGTTTATCGGTCCACCAAGTCACCACCCCTCAATAAAACACCCCAGCAAGCAAACACGCACGTCTATTATCTGCGAAGGGGGTTTGTGGCACCTACGTCAAGTCAGCACAGCACAAGTCACAAGGTCGCCACCAACTTTCAACATGTCCTTCACATCTATTCCGATTCTTGACCTCGCGCTCGCTCGTGATCCCGAAACGAAACCCAAGTTTCTTGAGGATCTCCGCCATGCACTCCTGGAAGTCGGCTTTCTGTATCTCAAGAATGTCGGCATTTCGGATGAGCTCTTCAATCAAGTCATTGCAGAAGGGAAGGGCTTCTTTGAGATTCCCCAGGAGGAGAAGTGAGTGCGGCTCGGTCCCAAAGTTGCCAAAGTTGCCCCACCTCGTCATCGTGACTGACGCGGATTCAGACTGAAAATTGAGATGAAGAACGCAAAATCGTTCCTCGGGTACTCCCAGCTCTCAGCAGAGATCACAGCCGGTGCCATCGACCACAGAGAGCAGATTGACCTCTCAACAGAGCATCCCGTCCCGGGTCCCCTGGACCCCCTCTACTACAACCTGCACGCCCCCAACCAGTGGCCCTCGCCTTCGGTGCTGCCGAACTTCCGCCAGACGTTCACAGACTACATGGATCGCATGGGCGCCATCTCCGTCGCGTTTACGTCCCTCATCGCCGAGGCAATCCAGCTCCCGGCGGACGCGTTCAACAAGTACTTTGACGCCCACCAGCAGCACAAGCTCAAGGTGGTCAAGTACCCGGACCTGCAGGAGCTCGGCCTCGGCGACGCCCAGGGCCAGGGCGTCGGCCCGCACAAGGACAGCATGCTGACGAGCTACCTCTTGCAGGCGAGCGCGCACCGCGGCCTGCAGGTGCAGAACGTGCGGGGCGAGTGGATCGACTGCCCGCCCATCGACGGCACGCTCGTCGTGGCCATCGGGCAGGGGCTCGAGGCGCTGACGCAGGGCGTCTGCGTGTCAACGACCCACCGGGTGCTGTCGCCCGAGGCGGGCCAGGGCGCGCGGTTCTCCATTCCGTTCTTCCAGGGCGTGCGCGGAGATGCCGAGTTTGAGGACCTCGAGACCGTCGGCGTCGGGCGCGTGCCGGACGAGGTGCGGAGGCAGCGCCAGCTGGTCATCGAGAGATATGGCGGGGAGCGGCTGGATGACGTTGAGTTCACATTTCGCAGGGGCGGCGTCTCCAAGACGCTGGGGGAGGCAACGCTGCGGAACAGGGTCAAGAGCCATCCTGACGTCGGGGAGAGGTGGTATCCTGATATCCTGGCTGCCATTCGCGAGCAAGAGGCACAGCTCAAGAAGGCGGGAAACGGGGTGAGTGTAACACTGCCCGCTGCTGGAGCTCCGCCTGTCACGGCGCACTGATTGATGATATCACGGATTAAAATCCAAGACTGCAGTCATGTCCGAATCCCGTGTAGGCAGTCTTCTCTTTTTGGTTGCTTCGTTCTGCTTCGTTTAAATCAAAGGTTCCCATGCGCCATCGCTGTATGCCACCGCCCGCCGCCCTCACACCACGTGAATCCTCAACCACCGGTACGCCCGCTTTCACCCCTGTCGAACGTCTGCATCGCCTCAGTCTGGTCGATTATGCCTCGACGCCAAATGTCGGGAAGCAGTCGGGCAGGGTCTTCTTGTGCTTGTTGTCGGCATGCTCGGTGAGACTGCGTCATGTCAGTCAGGGGCCATTGCCATACTACCGGAAGCGATTGTACTCACGCGGGCGCCTTGGTGGTCTTCAAGAAGGTAGCCTTGCAGATCTGGCACTGGATGTCCTTGGCGGCAGCGTTCTGAAGAATGGCCATCAGCATACAGTCTTCCCGGCGATGTCATGGCGCAACATACCACTTTCAGCTGCGACTTGGCAGGCTTGCCGGCCTTCTCGGCGTTGCGTTCACGCTTCTGTTGAGCCCTGTTGCCCTGCAGCACGCATATCGGTCAGCCCCTCAATCGACGTCCTGCCCCGCCAAACAGCGAATTGGTGGAGGGGTTTCAGGCAGGACTTACGTTGCCCATGTTTGCGGTTGAACGATAGTGTCGAAGGAGCTGTTGGTTGGATAAGTTGCGGTGATTTCGGGGGGGAGGTAGCAAGTCAGTCGAAGATCATTTACGGCAAGTAAGGTGGGAAGCAGAGGTTGCGGTGTTCTGGTCTGACGGCGGACTTTTTTTCTCTTCGGGAAGTGAAGGACAAGGGGGAAACCGCCCGCAGCCTACTTTTGCGCTGGCCAATGCGGGTCGAGGCGGGATCGACGGGGCCCAGGGTCTAGAAGCGTGCGCAGGGATCCACTCTGACTTGGGCTCACTCGCTGCCTCGCTCGCCCACTGTTACCGGGGCGGATGTTGGCTATCGGGGAAGGCAAACCCCCATTACTCGTTCGTGATGAACTCATCTCGACTTCGTTTCCCGCGCGCTGCTATACGAGACAGACGTGATCTTTGGCTCAAGTTATCGCCAGTGTTTTGGAAACCTCCGTACACAGCTCGGGCGCCTGCCTTTCTCGTCGTCAAGGACTGCACTCTGAAGCCCACTGTGGCAGCTGTCTGAGCTAGGGAGACACCGCCGCATGCTGTCTGCATGATCTGTATTCCCGCGGTCCCAAAATCTCCAAGACGATGCTGGCCAACGCGATAGGAAGGGCAGAGTTTGATGAGCTGCTTGCCAGTTACGCGAGCGTACTGGAGTCCATCTCGGCAGCAAAGGGTAAGTGCATCAATCGCCACTCTCTCACAACATGCTTCAAATTTGCATCGCTGAAACTGGCTGTGACAGAAAAGCCAGGCCAGAAGACTTTAAAGGAACTCGATGAGTTTCGATACGTTGAAGCCCCTCGTCTATTTTCGCAACATGGCACGCCCGAGAGACTGATGAACCACGACGATGTCAAGATTCTGGTCGAGTGGAAGCTGTAAGCGCTGCAACCTCGCGCGGCTCGTTTTATATTCCGGAGACAGTCTGACATATCGACAGACGGCACGGCAAGTTTCGGCCAACACTCATGACGTTGGTCACATCAAACGACTCGTCAGCCGTTTCGAAGACTATCCAAGACGGAATCTCGACTTTTGGAAAGACTTCGGATGTGGCCAAGGCGCTCGCAACTCTGGCAAAGCTCAAGGGCATCGGACCTGCCACCGCTTCGCTTCTTCTTGCCGTTCACCAGCCTGACGATGTCCCCTTCTTCTCCGACGAAGCGTATTACTGGCTATGCAACGGCGGAAAAAAGGAGTCATTAAAGTACAATATGAAGGAGTACGATGAACTCATCCGTGAAGCCAGAGCGCTGATGAAGAGGTTGGAAGTGTCCGCAATGGACGTGGAGAAGGTGTCGTACGTTGTCATGAGGCGAGAAGATGCTGGCGTCACGCCCTTGACAGCCAGCACACGGGACTCGAAGGCGTCGAAGGAGGAGGCTGGCGATTCGAAATCCGAAAAAGACAAGTCAAAGCCGTCCACCGCGACCAAGAGGAAGTCAGCACTCCAAGACGAAGCGGCGAATCAAACATCTCTCAGGCGATCGAAGCGTGGCAAGCCATCCTTCTGAATTCTGGCGCTGCCAGAGGTCAGCTGGCACAGCGCTCCAATCCTGCTAATTGTGGTACGGCAGGTGCTGAACCAAGCACAGCTCCGCAAATCGCAGGGTTGTAATTACGCAATGGATTTATCACAATGACAGAGCACTTGGAGTCCGATGCGTTTGGCCCTCTGTTGTCAAGAAGACAATGGAAAACGGCAATCGTCATGCAGTGAAGCGGCAGCGCGGGCCGGGTGCAGGCGCGTCCAACACAGCGGTCGCTGCAAGAGCCTAGGCCCCCAAGGGCCCCTGCCAGGGAGCTGGACTCTGGTGCAGTCCAGGCAGCTCAGCTCGCTGCGACCGATTTTCCGGTGGGGACTTGGTCACCTTCTGGGCTTGGGAACACACCGCGCGAACGCGGGGGAATGGCAGAATGTGGGGTCATTGCCACGCGCCTGGGGTCCTCCCAGCTGCTGCTCATCAGCGCGTGTAATACTTACTGACTCTTCAACCGTTCGGTTCCATCGCCTCATTAAACACACCTCCACGCGACCAGAGGCAGGGTCGTGCTTGTATCCTGCTGAAGGCGCGCCGAACCGTCATCATGGAGCAAGACCATTCCGAGCAGCACGGCCACGACCAGTCCAGTCAGCAGGAACATGATTTCTCCTCGTATGCCAATATCCCTTTCACAGATGATGTGTTCAACGTGCCCATGCCGTCTTATGGCTCCCCGGGCATGGCGTGGCCGGAATCCTTACCATACGACATCGACCAGTTCAACCAGTTCCAACAGAACTGGCCGGACATGGACTATGGCATGTCGCCGCCACCCCCGCCAGTGCCGCAAATGCCTCGAGCACCAGAAGCGCCGCCACAGCTGCCCCGGCGCTTTGCACAAATCAAACAGGGACTTGTCGCTGGAAAGGAGAATGCCATCGCCAAGTCCTGGGACCGGCTGCTCGTTTCCCTCCGAGCGGAGATTGCTCTCATCGAAGTCACAAAGTCTGACATTATTCCCACCATCGACTTTGCAGACCTCGAGGACCGTGATAAAGTCACAGAATTTTCGGCCAAGTTGAAGAAGCGAGGCGCTGCAGTCATTCGCAAGGTTGTTCCTTCGGAGGATGTCATGGAGTGGAAAGAGGAGACCGACGGCTACCTGGCTAGCAATCCCGGCACCAAGGCCTGGCCAACTCGAGACCCTCACCTCATGGGCATATATTGGACGCCTGCTCAGATTAAAGGACGCGGACATCCCAATGTCCTGGCGGCACAGAAATTCCTCATGAGCCTCTGGCACTCAACCGATGCGGAAGCGCAGGTCAGCAATAATTTCCCGGTATCGTACGCAGATCGTCTGCGCATCAACACGCCTGGCGAGTCCAACTGGCATCTCAACGCCCACGTCGACGGCGGCAGCGTCGAACGCTGGGAGCCGGACGGCTACGGCCGCGCCGGCACCTACCGCGCCATCTGGGATGGTCGCTGGGAGGACTACGATCCCTGGGAGAGCAGCTCGCGTCTCAAGGTCACGTCCGACCTCTACAACGGCGCCGGCTCCTGCAGCATGTTTCGCATGTTCCAGGGGTGGCTGTCCATGGCCTCCATCGACCCATCAGAGGGCACCCTGCTGCTCTGTCCCATGCTCCAGCTCGCGACCGCCTACTTTCTCCTCCGTCCCTTCTTCTCGCCCCGCGTCCCCGCCTCCGCGTCGCCTTCGACCGCCGCCTTTCTGGCCTCCGATAACTGGGCCCTCGACTTCTCACAGACCTCCATCCTCCAGGGCGCCGTCCCGTCCTACACCCAGGAGCTCAACAATGTCCTCCACCCCCACCTCCACCTCGACAAGTCCCTCGTTCGCGTCCCTCGCGTTGAACCCGGCGACTACATCGCCTGGCATCCCGACATGGTCTACGGCGGCGACAAGGTCTCCCCGGTCACGGCCCCGGCCACCATCATGTACATCCCCGCCTGTCCCCTGACGCAGACGAATGCCCTGTACCTCGCGCGGCAGCGCAAGACGTTCCTCCTGGGCCGGCCGAGTCCGGACTTTGGCGGTGGCATCGGCGAGGCCACGCACGTTGGCCGGCCCGGCACGCAGGAGGTCAACGACGCCGGCGGCGACGAGGCCCTGCGCGCCATGGGACTGCTTCCCTGGGAGGAAGATGATGCGTCGGGGCAGCACGAGGTGCAGCTCCTCCGCATGGCGAACGGGATCCTGTTCCCGGACCGCTACGACATGATGGTTTGACGAGTCGAGACTTGGAGCGTGGGCACAACTGGATATGAATGCGATTGATCGCTAGCTAGGCGTTGGGACTCTTCACTCATTTGGACGATACCTTTTGCGTAGGGACTCTTTTGTTTCTTCCCACAGTTGACGTTATCTTTTGCGCGGGACCGGGTGGATAGGTATAACAGCGGGACGGGCAACGAAAAAGCACAGTAGTAAGACCGGTCGAGTGTTTATGGAACATTGAGTACACAGGACAAGATCTAATGAGAATAGTGAACAGTCGTCATAATAATTCAAAAGCGAGTCTGCCTAACGAGGCTCGCTCGCTCGCTGCTTTTGACACCGGCTAGCCTGCAGACCACCGGAGAACAGCTATAAACCCCATGGTCCGACGCCTACGCTTTCGTTTCCCGAGTTCGTTGTGTGTGCGTGCGCTATCAAGTCCCGTTTTTTTTCCTCTCTTCCCGATGGATAGTACCCGTACATTGAGTTTTCGTCACCTTAGTCAAACTTCTTGTCGACGGGCTCGCCAGTGGCGGCAGCGTACTTGTCGCTGAGCTCATCGTACGCCTTGTGCAGCTGGGTAGACTGCTTCTTGAGGTTCTCGAGGTCCTGGGTCTTGACGTCAAGCTCCTTGCGCAGCTTAGCAATCTCGCCGGGCTTGCCGCTGACGGCGAGCTTCTCCGACTCCTTGGTGTTGGAGTTGGTGCCCTCGTAGCTCTTGACGCGGTCCTCGAGACGCATGACTTCCAGGATCATAACATAGGTGCGGTTGAGGATGAGGGAGAGGAAGAGGGTGAAGCCGCAGAGGTACATGTTGCGCTGCGAGTAGAACTTGCGGGCCTGGACCTCGAGACGCTCGTGGCCCATGACGGCGGCGCTGTGGGCGGGATGGTCAGTGGATCGGTACAGATGCAAACGTGGGGCTTGGGCTTATGGAAGCACGAAGAGAGAGTGAGCTACGTACCCGTTGTTCTGCTTCTCAGTGGCGATGGCCAGTTCGACCTGGACCCTGTAGACGCGGTTGACGCTGTCGATGAACAGGATGAGGATGAAGACGAATGTGATCTTCATCCAGTATTGTATCTTTGCTACAATTGGACTCTCGGAGATGAAGCTGCCAAGGACAAGGTCAGCTCGTGTGCTCAAGCAGACAGCTGGGCAGCCCGAGGATCGGACGTGGGCCGATCAAGACAAAGGGCTGGCAGAAACCTACGTGAAGAGCTTCCTCTTGATGGTGAAAGGAAGAGGAATGATGAGGAGCATGAACAGGGTCATCTCCAGCATCAACAGCACGAATACCTGTGAAGTTCGCGGTCAGCCGCGTGATCTTGACGTGGGCTCAGAGTTTTGCCATGCGACATGTGACAAGCTTCGAGGCAACGTACGAGAGTGTAGTAGAGCGTCATCTTGGCTGTTGGTTGTGATTGTAGTTACTGAGTGGTTGGGATGGGCTGCGTCCTGATAGACTGATGGATTGTCCAAAATCTGAATTGCGGTAGGTGGCTGCAAGAGAGAAGAAGGGACGAGATGGGCAGAGCGGGCTTTTGTAGGAGACGTGACGATGATGTGGTTTCAATCCCGGCAGAGGTGGCAGGAGCTGAAGACGGACAAGGGTGGGGTGAACAGACGTAAGTCGACAACGTCATTGTGGCTGGTGCAAGCTTGCTTGGTGTGGCTAACGCCCGGATCAGGGTCGTGCTGAGATCTGCATCAGAAGGACGCTCTGTCCAGGTGGGGTTGAGCATAACATCCCAGTCGCCCGTGCTGCACATGCTGCACATGTCTGAGAATTGTGTACATGTAGTGCAGGAACCCTGACGACAGAGTGAGAGCATTGTGCGGAGGACAGCCGCCGCTTGGTGGAATACGAGAGCGCAAGGCAATGCACTACATTTTCCTATTTCCGATTCGAAGCTTCGCAACAGTAGAACGACACTGAATCAAGTCGAAGGGGTTACAACCAGGCGATCCAAAGACTCGAGGAATCATACTACATTGGTATTCTTCAAAAGACCATGCCCCCAATCCTGCAACGCCCAGCTTTTCGGTCCAAGTAGACCAGCAGTAAGAAATCCAAGCCCAGCATACACGAAGTCTGGTGAAATACACATGAAAAGGCCACTACGTGCCGAGTTTCCGTCTCCGTACACATTCATGACACACACAACCCTCCTAAGAGTAGAATTGGCTCTTCTGGAAGCTCTCCGCGCTGACATCGCCCACCTTGCTCTTCACTGGCTCTGGCACGCTCTCCACGGTGCTGGTCATGGTGCTCGTCCTACTGCTCTCGCTCGCCGCTGCCTTGATAGCTGCAACCGGCTGCCCGGGCCTTTTGATGACCTCGAGGTACGTAGCCGGGAGGTAGCCGGTGCGGCCATCACGAGCCCGGCAGCGCCACCACTCGCTGGGGTTGCCAATAGGGTCACTCTTGCTGAGCACAGCGACAAGCTCGCCCCGGCGCACTTCCATATCAACTCCCTGCACGGCATTGCCGGGCTGGGGAGTGAAGTCGTAAAGGGCTCGGCAGTAGTCAAGCTTGGACGGGTCAAGCTGTTGCTGTACAGCTTGCTCGCCCGCTGCAGCGAGGCGCTTGCGCTCCTCTTCCTCGGCCGTGGCAGCGAGGGAGTTGATCATCTTCCTCATGAGATACGGCAGGCCGAAGGCAGCGAGGACGAAGAAGAAGAGGGGCTTGCGGCTGGCCTTTGGAGGTCCCAGAGGCGTGCCGTCTGGTCCAATCGGCTGGCGGCCCTCAAAGCGTGCGAAGGCGGCAGGCGTCAAGGACGTTGCGTCGGCCGGGGGTGGCCGGCCGGTAAGCTTCGCTAGAAGTGTGCGGATCCATCGCATCAGGGTGAAGATGCCGAGAATGGAGCCGAGAGTATCCTTGAGGTTACCGAATTGCTCGGCGACGGAAACCATGGCTGCAGTCGGATTAGCAATCGACATTCCGCGCCCCTGAAAGAGCAGAAGCAACATACCAAAGAAGCTCGAGTGAGTCGCCATGTAAGTACTTTCCAGCATTTGTGCAAAGCCTCCAAAGGCCTGCACGATACCTTGCAGCATCTGGAAAGTTGCCTGGGTGCTGTTGTTGAACTGGTTCGTCAGGCTGTTGGGGTCATTCGGATTTTGGCCCATGCCAGGCATGCCGCCGTACATGCCACCTCCATACATGGAGCCGCCGTAGCCACCGTATCCTCCATACATGCTGCTGCCGTACATCCCTCCCATGGTTCCCCCATAGCCGCCGTAGCCACCCATTCTCGAGTACGAGTTGTAGCCGGCGCCGCCGCCGTATGTACCGTAAGGATTCGCCATGCCAGAGCTGTATGCTGCGGCGTTCTGGTTGACCGATGCTGCGAGAGAGGCCGGTCGCTGGGGGACAGCAGGCGCGTCTGCTGATGCTGTGGCGATCGCTGAGGAGCCTTGCGCCGGCGGGGTCGAGATGGAAGCGGCGGTAGTGGTGGGAAGCGTTGTCGGTCGCGCTGCTGTGATTGCGGTTGTTAGCACACCAGGCATCGAGAAGATGACATACACGGGCGGACATACCCGATGCAACGGTTGCTGCAGCGCCAGGTCGTTCCCAAGGCTTAGGTGGAGATGCCATAGTACGCTGAAGATGCTGGGGAATAAAAGTCGACTGGCGTCAGGAAGGCCTGCCCGCCTCGAAGACGAGTAACGAAGCCGAGGTGGCAAACGCTGGGTGTATGCCGAACTGCCGGCCAACGGCCAAAGGCGTAACGCGACGGGAAACCGGTTGCACAACGGGGCAGTGTCTGCCGCTATATGTACAAGGACAGTCGCGCAATGTCGTCCGGTCGGCCGTCGAGGGTTGATACGTGGTGATGGATTGTGAGGGGATGTTGGAAGAAATGAGAACATGCGTGAGGAAACCAGCCGACAGCGAGCGACTCGGTTCGTGGGCGGCCGATTCGGGGGTGGAGTACTGGGGAAAACAGGCTCCTCTAGTCTCTGTTGGCTCATTCGAGCCAGTCTTGGCTTCTGCATGGGCGCGCATCTGATCACGCTTGAGTGGCACTTGCCTCGGCAAGACCAGTCACCCCGTACTTTCTCCGCCTCCCATGCCGTCCGCCCTCGGCTCGCTGACTCATCGTCCTCTGCACTGACAATGTGCAGTCGCCTGTGTTCGCCGCGAGTGCGCTCTGACCACGGTCTTCCCCCTACTGAGACATGGAGAGACTTCATGTTCTTCATGGCTACCACAACTCACATAGGCGAAGCCTGTGCGCTGGCGGGCTCTTTTGCAGTTGCAAAAGTATCTGATGTGGGTGATCCAGTCGTATCAAGACAAGACATGTGGCTCAGTCACGGATGGTCCAAGAGGAGTACGCGACGTGCACGCTCGCTCCCATTACATGCTGAGAAAGTCAATCCCAAAGACCTTGAGAGAAGGCGCAATGGCTTCGCAAAAGCCCACGAGTCTGCCACCCTTAAAAGGGGTTGTAGAAAGCCAATGCCCAGACACATTCATCTAGTAGATGTGCTAGCACCAGACAAAGGATACTGGACGGCACGTCATTCTCAAATCAGACGTTCGTTTACCACGAGCTGCCATCTTCTCTCTTTCACGCATCCAACAAAGTCCAGTCTTTTCACCAGACATGGCGCGAACCTGTAAGTATGTACTAATGTCAAATCTAGAATTGCAAACACCTTGCCCCCTGCTATTGTCGCGGCCTTAGCTAGCAAGCGAGAACAGACTGAAAAGACTATTGTCCTTCCCAGTTTGGATCCAGCTCTGGACCAGGTCCTCGCTGAGGCTGGTAGCAAAGTCAACGTTGTCACCCAGGATCTTGACGGAGACTTGACCGCTGGCGGCATCAAAGACAGTAGCGACGTTGATGAAGCCGTCCGTGGGACGCTTGAAGTAGTCGGACGATCCGCCGTTGACGTTGGTGTGGAAGGTGCTCTTGCACTTGGTGTCGCCGGGGGCGAGGACTTCGAGGATGTCAAATTCGCCGCAGTCGGTCTGCCAGCAGGAGCAGTCGCCATACTGCTGGGTGCGGGGAATCTTGGCGTTGAGAAGCCAGGCGGCGGGCATGTCAGCGTTGAAGCCGCTGCTGCCATCGAGGGGCATGCTGAACCGCATCAGGAAGACCTTGGACTCGCCTCCGAAACCATCTGGCAACAGTTAGGACTCAAATCTGCACAGGCTACAATGAAAAACATACGATAGGCAACAGAACCAGGACGGACGTAGCCGCAGCTGCCATCGGTACAGGGCTTGTCCGAGTATATGGCGAATTCCTTGTTGGAGGGGATCAAGACCTTCTCGAGAACCTGAGGGGACGGGGAGCCACCGGTAGCTTTGGAGTTGATGTAGGAGAGCGAGTTGCCCCAGACGCTATTATCTCTTGTCAGAAGGGCACGTTGCTAATTCGGGGCATCGCAGTACTCACGTGTCGAAAACTCCAGAGCCGTCGCCTCCGTAGTTGCCAAGGAAGACCAGTCCATCGGCAACACCCTTGTCAGCGTCGTAGTGGGCAATGCGGGTATAGTCACCAGTGGCAACATTTTCCGGAGTGGACTTGGTAGGCGTGGGCCTAGGAGCCACGGAGGTGGTGGTAGGCTCCGGATACTCCTTCAAGGCCTGCGCCTGAACCTCAGGGGCTGCTGGCTTCTCCGCGGGGGCGGGCTTCTCCTCAGCGGCGGGCTCGGTGGACTTGAGATAATTAGCCACGACCTATCGGCGGTCTTTTGTGTGTTTTTGACTCACAGGGACATCAGTGGCACCATGGTAGGTGTTGATCCAGGAGACAACCTGGCCATCAATGGTGGCCGTGATCCAGTCCTCGCCGCGCTTCTCCTGGGCGTGTTTCTTGTGCAGGTGGTGATGGCCGTGGAAGTGGCGGCGGGCGTGGATCTGAGACTGGGGGACACCAGCATCACGCTTCTGCTTCTTCTCGACGATGTTATAGACGTCGAGGCGGTCCAGCTCCAGGGGTCCGCGTAAAATGAGAGCGAGCTGTGCGGTCAGCAAGTGGACGAGGCAAGGCGAGGATGAGTGTCAACTCGAATTTTAGGGTTGCCTTACCTCCTCGTTGAAAGGAGCAAGAGGGCCGGTGAAGGCCTTGTCTTCGAAGTTGCAAGAACCGTCGCTTCCCATATGAGACACAGCCTTGTAAGTGCCAGGGTGGCCGACGTTCGAATACAGGATTTGGTCAACGGCACCGCAGAACCAGTTGCCGCCCTCGTCCTTGGCGGAGCCGGTGCACTGCTGAAGGCCGGCGACCATGGCGGCCGAGCCGAGGGTCAGGAGAGCACTCGAGGTCTTCATGTTGTTTCCGTGTTGGGTGCAGCAAAGGAGTGTGTGGGTGTGCTATCCAAGGTGGTTGAGAGGAGAAGTTGTGCAATATTGAGGTCCAATATCGCCCTTCTTTCCGAGGCGGTG